GGTAGGTGGCAATCCTCTCTATCCCTGTACATGGAAGAGCATTAGTTTTTGCAGCTGAGGAGACTAAGCGAGAGAAAAGCTTGCCCTCATTGTCTTGTTTGGAGACTGACAACTTGCTAGCCAGAATGTTGTTTGCCCATAGGAATGAGATCACATACTCTCAGCATGCTGCCATTAAAGCTACAGGGCATTTTAAGTCTGGCCTTAAGGGAAGATAAGAGTCATGACTAGACCAGTGAATATAGCAGTGCATATAAAAGGGACCTAGCAACCAGAGAGAAGACAGACGGCAGACTAGAACTAGTGAAAACAGAATTATTGAAGGAGATATACACTTGAACAAAATAATAAGGGCACATAAGCAGATTGAATTATAACAAATTCTTTAAAAGTAGAAAAAAAATGATTTTTACTTTTAATGTTTAGATTATTTGAAAAAGAGGATACATAATATTAAGTCCCAAATTACTGGCCTAGAAAATCAAGGGAAAGAATTATGTCATTACACAGAACAAAAGTATTAAGAGATAAAACCAAGAGGAAAAAGATTAGAGGCTTAAAGGCAAATCATGGATATCTGATATATAAAGAGTTCTAAAGGGAAAAAAAATGGAGAAGCAATAATTAAATATACAATAAAGGGGATAAAGAAAGACTTGAGATTGCAGATCAGAATAGCTGACTGTTGTCCAGCTAGGAGGGAAGTGGGGGAGAAAAACACAAATACCTATGTATAGTCTGATAAAATTAATGACTTAAAGTAAAAATTTCCTAAGCTTTTGTACAAAAGAACAATTATATACAAAGAAAAAGAACCAGACTTACATTAGACAATCTTATCATACAAGTAGAAGTAGAGGAAGGTGAAATGACCCATACACAGTCCAAAAAGGACTATAACTCCAGAATGTTGTATTCAGTCAAGAGACCCTTCACCTGTCAGGATGAAAAGAAGATACTGGTGTGTCCTAACCGAGGAAAACTACAGAAACAAGATATAAATCAGAATAAATATCTTTATATAGGGGAAGGTAAAGAAGAGAAGTAAGTACCAGTTCAATAAAGAAAATAGATCAATCTCACTAATATAAATTTAAAAGTAAAAATAAAATACTAGCAAATCAAATCTGTCATTGTATCGTAAGAATATTAGACTTGTTACTAGGGCTTCATTTCAGAAATACGATTTGTTACCAGGAAATCTGTCAACGTAATTTATTATATCAAATTAAAAGGACAAAAGTCATATAATATAACAGTAGATCAGATAAAATTTAAAGTCATTCCTAATGAAAATTCTAAGTAAAATGGGTTTAAGAAGGCAAATATTTAAATATAATAGACTGGTAGCCAGTGTCAATCACAAGCACCATTGTAAATGAAAATATTGCAAAGATATATCTATCAAAATTAGTAACTAAACAGGGATTCCCCTCTCTACCACCACCATTATTTACCATTGTTTGGAAAGCATTATGACAAGTAATTAAATAATTAGAATTATTATTAAATAAATTGAAATAAATATTGGAGAAGGAGAGAAGCCAGGAGAAAGGGGTGGAGATGGAGAAAGAGAAAGCAGGAGGCAGAGAAGTAGGAGGAGTTAAAGGGGGAGCAGGTGACCCTGAAGGAGGGGGCTGGTATGGAGGAAGAACGGGGAGCTGAAAGAGAAATGTCATCTGTGTCAGAAGAAGAAAGGGATAGAGAAATAGAAGTAAGCAGTAGCATACGACAGCTACCATGTTTCCCCGAAAATAAGACCTACCCATAAAATAAGCCCTAGCAGGATTTCTAGGCATTTGCGCAATATAAGTCCTACCTTGAAAATAAAACCTAGTGATGGGCATGGCTACACAGCATATCTGCACAACCCATGCATTTGGTCACAGAATGGTAAAGAAGATGAGCAGCCCTTCTCATCTGCCCCATCGTGACAGCTACTATCCCAAAGGTGACCGGAAAGGTGCGGGCAGCCCCACCAACAAGGTCGGCTCCCTTGTCAGGTCCTGGCCAATGGTTCTAAAGGAAATAGAGTCGTAAGAAATTCAGGATGGAATTCAGGGTTTGGAGAGTTATGATGATGTTCCAGAAGAAGATGACTTAACTATATTTGAATAAATGTAGATTGTTGTACTGTACTTAAAAAAAATAACACATCCCCGGAAAATAAGCCGTAGGGTGTCTTGAGGAAAAATAAATATAAGACCCTGTCTTATTTTCAGGGAAACACAGTAGAATGGAGAACAGGATATTTAGCAAGTTCAAAGAAAGCCTGTATGTAGGAAACTTCTGACCAATTGCCAAGCTATGGCAATAAGTTGCAGGATGGTGTTATGATTTAGATATCTGTTCTCAGGCCACACCTCCTGGTCATGTAACTTGTATTATGGCCAGGCTGTATTACAACAGAAGACTAAATGTTTGGGACAGAGGTCAGTGAGTTCCAAGGTTTTCAAATTCTAAAGGAGTCAGGCCAGTGGGGAGACCTTGGGTTAAGCCGGCTGAACATTGCCCATGATGGCAACTAGGAGAAAGAAAAGGATGTTTTAGGGATATGGTCATATGAAGAAGACAGAAACGTGAGAAGGCATCCCCTACTCAGATGACCTGCGGATTCTGACCAGACATAGGGTGTCCCTGAAGCCTTAGACCGTGACCTGGAGCTGGCCAAAATAACAGGTGTCTTGAGTTCTGAACCAGACATGAACCTTCTGATTTTCCCCCAAAGCCAGGCATTCCTGACTCTGAGTGAAGATTGATGGGGGGAATGCCCCCCTACCCCAAAAGTGGCTGGGAAGTATCCTTTCATGCTACCCACCCCAGTCGTAGACCCACTGAGTTTTCCCTTGACCAAACCAAAAAGGAAGCAGTTTCCACCTTGTTTATATGACCATTCCCAGAATTTCAAGAGACTCACCAAGTTCCAGAGGATATTTAAGTCAAGGAAAAGGAAATCCTAAGAGCTGTACCTCAGGGGAGGGAGCAGTTTAGATTGAGGTCCTCATGTGAAGGTTGAGAAGTGACTCAGCTTCCCTCCCCATATGGGGTAGAGAAGTAATATCTCAGTCCCAATAAGGGTAGCCAAATGTTAGGGTGTGCAGTCTGTCCATTCACACGGGTAGAAAGAATTCTCAGTGATTAGGATAGAAAAGAGCACCAAGTTTGTTTACTCCTTCTCCAAAGAGGAGGGCATAGCGCCAGAAAATAAAGAGGGTGCTGGCCCGGAGGCCAAACCACTCTGACTCTATTAAGGCAGGCTGAGGAGGGGTGGGGTGATTGGTTAAGATTGCTCTATTAGTAAAGAAGACAGCTGAGAAACTGCTGAGTTTGTCCTTTTCTGTCTCATGTAGTAGGCTGATAACAGGAATTGTTTTCTTCATTCTTCTTAATAGTGGGAGACATCTGGTGTCATCTCTCCTTGAAAAGGTGGGGGATGCTCATGTCTCAGCTGGCCCAGGAATGCTTCAAGGCTATTTAAACAAGCTCGAAAAGACCGTTAGACTGTCTTTCCTTTCCTCACCTTTCCTGGAGACTACTTTTCCCTTTGGAATGTTAATGAGAATTTATGTTCAATGTTAATGAGATTTATGTTCCTTTTGTTAATTTTAGCTTCCTTTAACTGTTAGGTAAACATCTCTGTAGGAGAGATATTCATGTTACCAACCTTAGAGAAAGGATTTATGCTACTCTAAGCGTCTGCCAGGTAGAAATTTATTTTTCCTTGTTAGTCTGTTAGTAAGACTGTCCTTTCACATGGTATTAATAGTACTCAAAGATATTGAAGGGAAAAAAACTTCAGGAGTAAATTTAACAAGGAAAGTACTAGGTCTATAAAAAGCTATAAAATATTTTTGAAGAATGCAAAAGAAGATTAAACAAACGTAAAAACATAACCATATTCTTAAGTGGAAATGTATAAAATTATTAAATATCAATTCTCCTCAAATTAATAAATACTTTAATCTGATTACATTTTGAATCCCCAGGGATTGTTTTTAAAATTTAAAAAAAAATCTCAAAGCTTATATAGAAGACCAAATATCCAAGAATAGTCAAGAAGTGAAGCTAGGTAGGACTTGCCTTGCCAAATGGTTAAGCATACTATATAACATCTGTGGTTAAAAGAATGAAAATGGCATTGGTATAGGTAAGTTAAACAGAATGTTTAAAAATAAAACCCAATAAATACAGGACTTTAACATATTGACCATGTGCATTTTAATTCAATGGGAAGAGGGTAGGCATAACCAACTATACACATGGAACAAAAGACGTTGAATTCCTACCTTTTATACCAAAATAAATATTAAAAAATACTTAGAAGGAAAATGTAGTAGAATATATGTATGACCTATGTGTGGGATAAGACATTTTAAACCAACTTACGTCACATAAAAGGTATAAGAGTGTCAGACATTTTGACTAATGCCCATTACTCTTCTCTTTATTGTGGATATATACACATATATATATTTTTTTGAGATGGGGTCTTGCTATGTTGCCCAGGCTGGTCTTGAACTCCTGGCCTCAAGTGATCCTCTTACCTCCGCCTCCCAAAGTGCTGGGATTACAGGCATGAGCCACCACACCATGCCCAATGGATATTTGTGTAGATTGAATACGATAATTTTGTGTATTTCCTAATATTGAAAACTTGTTAACTTGGAGTCTAGTAGAGATTTTGGGTCATATAAGGTCTGTCATATACTTTGAATGGGGATGTACTCATAAGGACAGAGAATCAAAGATTAGGACAGATAATCAAAGATAATCAAAGTGTTAGAATTTATTACTGTTACCCCATGGTTATTGCAAAGGTATAACCCAAAGGTTATTGCAAAGATATCTCTAAGACGTAGTATTTATTGTTTTGTATTCTGTTTATTCCAGGCCGTTATAGCATTCTAAATTGAGTCACCTGTACTATTTCACTATGGTCAGTTTCCCTTTTAGTTTGAGTTAGTTGCAGCTGATAACAGTTGTCACTTTTTTTACTCAAGGGTATGAAAGTGCCAGTATGTCTAGCACATGTGAACCTTGCAAAAGTAGGAACAGACATTCAGCCCAGACTGAAGAGCCTGTTCAAGCAAAAGTATTCAGCAGAAAGAATCATGAACAGCTGGAAAAAATAATAAAACATAGTAGGTCTACAGAAATATCTTCAGGTATGTTCTTTTTTGGTTTGCCTTAATTTAAGGAGGTTTTCATCTTAGATTTAAAAAGCTGTATTAAAGAAAGTTTTAAAACTTGTCTATCACACATTTGTGTCATGTGGAAGATTTTATAGTAGAGATTACAGTGCACATTCATTGACATTAAGAAATGTAAACTGGAAATATTTTTTGTGATACTAGTTTTCAACACATTTTAATAAAATTCTTTCTAAACAAAGGATAGTTCACATTAATACGGAACTAATTTGAAATTCTGAAATCTATCTGAATAAGAATTAGATGTGAAATCATATTACCCACCTGCTTAAAATCTTTGGCTCATCATGCCTACAGGATAAAGGCCAAATGCCTTAATGTAACATATGTGGCCATCAAGGATTTTGTTTCTTCTTGCCCCTCCAGACTAATTTCTTACCACCCTCCGCCTTGAGCCTTATTCTTTCAGAGGCACTGAAGATTTTTTATAGCTATCACACTGTTTTTACTTCAGTAATTTTTTTTTTTTGTGCTTTGTAAGCCCATTTCTCTTTTGGACTATTAGTAAAATTTTAATTCCAGAACCTCGAAATTGCATTCTAATCCAAGCTGGAATAGCTTCTCTTTTCTCCTTTTTGTTTTCATTGTAGCCTGTGTAAACCTATTTTGTTGCCTGTATCATATTATATGGTATTTACCTGTTTAAGTGTCTGTATCACCCTTTTGAGTCCCCTGGCAGCAGATAATACTTTTTCATATTTGTATCTTAAATTTCTGCTTAATACCTGACACATGATAGGCTCTCTGTGTTTATTGAATGAATGGAATCGTGTGTTTGCCACCATTCTAGTTCAAGTAAGTGTCTGTACTTCCTGATTTATAAAGAATAAATACATCTGAGGCCGGGCGCAGTGGCTCACGCCTGTAATCCTAGCTCTTGGGAGGCCGAGGCGGGCGGATTGCTCAAGGTCAGGAGTTCAAAACCAGCCTGAGCAAGAGCGAGACCCCATCTCTACTATAAATAGAAAGAAATTAATTGGCCAACTGATATATATATAAAAAAAAAATTAGCCAGGCATGGTGGCGCATGCCTGTAGTCCCAGCTACTCGGGAGGCTGAGGCAGAAGGATCGCTCCAGCCCAGGAGTTTGAGGTTGCTGTGAGCCAGGCTGACACCACGGCACTCACTCTAGCCTGGGCAACAAAGTGAGACTCTGTCTCAAAAAAAAAAAAAAAAAAAGAATAAATACATCTGAAAGAAATATAGAGAGGGAGACAGTAAATATAGACTGATAATCTCAATTGTCAAGACCATTGTTGAAAATGATAACAGCTACTACCATTTGTATCATGCTGTATTATTTACAAATTACCAACACATCTTTTTTGAACCTTGTAATGTTGAGTTGGTTTTATTTCCATTTTTCAGATAAGGAAACATGGTCAGAGAAGGGTACCTGTTTTTTTCCATCACTCATAAAGAACCAGTAATAAAAACTGGTAGAACTTTTCTGGAAGGCTTCAAAAGTCATGCCTTAATCCAGTAATTTTACTTGTAGGAATCTATTCTAAAGAAACCAAAGTGGACAAAAAAATTGGGATTTAGTGTTATCTGAACAATATAATTCTAATATATAAACAAAAATTTGAATTAAAAATGACTGGAAGAAAATGAACCAAAGGGTTAATTAATAGTAGTTTCTGTCATCTTTAAATTTGTCTATACTTTCTCAAACTTTTATAGTGAGTAGTTATTATTTTTGTAATCAGAAAAGAAACATCACATTTGTTTGTATTTTGAAATGATTTCCTCAAGCTCAGATTGCTAGATTGTAGAGCTGAACTTTGAATTCTGATCTCCTATAAAGTTCAGGATCTTTTTGGCAAAAATGTCAGTCCTATTGTCTCAAACCTAGAATGTTACCAAAATTTTATAATTTTCATATACTTTCACTATCTTTACCAAGTAGTGATACCTTAGAATAAATAGTTGAGTGTAGATTGGGGAATGGCATTAAACTGAAAAGTTTAATAAATCGAGAATCAATTACTTAAAAAATTAATAATTGATCATAGTAATTGAGACCTTATTACTGTCACTTGGAAAAATATAATATTGAATTTTGGTGAATTAAAAAATGTTTGAATAGTGTAAATACATTTGTGTGTATTTACATACTCACATTCTAAAAAGATTTATTTTTAGTAGTTGTAACTATTACCCTAAAATTCTTTACAACATAACATGTTGTAACTCTGCCCCTGATATATGATTACTAGAGTATAGCATGTATGATTGACAGTATTAAATTATACAGTCATCTTCTCTCTTAGGAGTTGTGGGAGGTTCACCTTGATGTATATGCTTCTAAAAACAAATGATAGAAGTTTATTATGTTAGTCGTTGTCAATCACATTAATATAAACTTGTAGCAAATGCTTTGAGTTTTTTTCTTGATGAGATTATTTTTAAATAGAACATAGGCTGGACTTTGTGATAAATTTAGTTCAGGCAAGCAATTCTGAAGAAATTTGCTTCTTTCTTTTTTTCATTCACTTATTCATATTATAGACCCTGTCTTTACTACTCATACACATTTTATGTTCATCCTATGTCTGCCCTTTCCTACAGCACATGCTAGGAGAATACTACAGCAGTCTAACAGAAATGCATGCAATGAAGCGCCAGGTAACAATCTGCTTAGTTTTGGTGTCCACTTTTTGTTAATTTTTTTCCATTGGTCCTAAAATTTTTAGTTTTATTGTTCTGATTTTTTTTTAGATTTAGCTTAGTATATATACGTTATGTAACTATTGTAAAAGTGAAAGAGAATTCACTCAAAATTCTGAAGCCTTACATTTATAATTCTCAGTTGGCAAAATTGACAGCTTTTCTTGTTTTCCTTTTCTGTTAGTGTATGTGCCCTAACCAACATATTCATAAGGGTAATAGAAACCTTTTTTTATGATATAGTATTTGTTATTTTGTTCTTATTAAATGCTTAAAAGAATTAATATTTATTAGAAACAGAAATACAGTTATCTTTATATTATTGTTATTTTTTGTTTCCAGTCAACATCTATAAAAACAATTAACCTTCAAACAAAAGCAAGTATGATATGCAAAGACTATGATAAATAAAGATCATGAAAAATTGCAAAGATTTCAAAATGGTATTTTTGTTTCTAATCTAAAATGTATTTTCATTAAACATGCATGATTTAGAATTGTAAATTATTTTTAATTCCTCCTGCAGCTGTGCATGAGTTAAAAGATAAAAGCCTATTTGAATCTTTAGGGGAATATAAAGAAGTAAAACAAGGACGCAGAACTGACAAAGCTAAATATATCAGTGGCACTTCCAAAAGAAAAAGAACTCTAAAAATAAGATAAAAACAAGATGAGATCAGAGAAATCTGACTGAAATTAGGAATTTTTGTAGCCACAGCTAATCAATTTAAGTTTAGAAGGAGAAACTAGTGTAAACTTTCCACTTCTTGACTGCAAGGGGATTTAGGGCATGAAGCTTGTATTTGGAATAATTTATTGTTTGGGAAAAACTTAATTTTTAATGATATGTAATTTGGGTTGATAATTTTATCACATAAAGAGATATTAAAGATGTCATTATACTTTGTTCTTATAGCTTCAAAATAAACATATTTGAAATATAGTATATAAATTGAAAGTTTGCATATGAAATATATCTTTTTATCTGAATTTTTCCTATGAATAGAGTTTTTTTACAGAGATAGTATTTGTTCCTGCTTATGATAGTCATTTTTATAATAGTTTATCACATTTGAGCATTGTAAAATTACTAAGAGAACTTTAATATATTACTTCATTTTAAATTCATAACTGAGGTAAGATAAGGAAGTTGCATATTTTTATTTATTAAGATATATAGAAGGCCGGGCGCGGTGGTTCACGCCTGTAATCCTAGCACTCTGGGAGGCCAAGGCAGGTGGATTGCTCGAGGTCAGGAGTTCGAAACCAGCCTGAGCAAGAGTGAGACCCCGTCTCTACTATAAACAGAAAGAAATTAATTGGCCAACTAAAGTATATAGAAAAATTTAGCTGGGCATGGTGGCGCATGCCTGTAATCCCAGCTACTTGGGAGGCTGAGGCAGGAGGATTGCTTGAGCCCAGGAGATTGAGGTTGCTGTGAGCTTAGGCTGACGCCATGGCACTCACTCTAGCTTGGGCAACAAAGCAAGACTCTGTCTCAAAAAAAAAAAAGATGTATAGAATTAATATTTTATTACATATTAATATTTTACATTATTAGTGTTATTTTCTGCTTGCGAAAATCAAGACTTGAAGATGTAAAATTACTTAGCGAATTAGTAGAAAGTTTTGCATTTTTTTATCCTTCTCTTGCAAAAATGAATTAAATCTTTATGATCCTCGTACACTTTCTGAGAGCAATATATAAAATTTTTAAATTTTCTTTCTTAGAAACTTAACAGTGATTTCAGGGGAACTTGAATTATGTACCTAGATTTGTGGTTTGCTATTATTGCTCTAGAAGAGTTACAGAATTTGATAGCTACAAGAACTGGTTGGAGATTTTTTTTTTCCATAGAGAACTCAAAATGGAAACAGTTCCCAATTTGTGTTCTTAAAATTCAGTATGACTTATATATCTTTGAATGATAATTCTGTGTTATCAACAAATGCATATATCAAAATTGTAGCTAAATAGTGGAGTGATTCTGTGATACTGAAAACTTCTGTTGGATCACTGCCTTCTCCAATTTACACTGAGTGTGTAGAAAATACACTATAGTGAAATTGACCTATTATGTTATAGTTACATATTCAGTTATTTGTCAGCATAGTACTTTTCTGCATGATAGATGAAGTTTGAGAATTTGGTCTGTAGACCAAACTAGGTAGATCTTAAAAATAGTAGCTTTCGTTGACAGCATTCAATTTATTCTTTTCACCATTAACAAAAATAAGCAAGTTTACTTTTCTATAATGAAGTTCATATTTTAAAAAAATTATTTGCACTTAGCTTGTTTCATTCAAGTGCTAAAAGATTTTTACTGATTGTTCCCATGAAGTATGTAAAATTTTCCATATATTTTATATGGCCAGAAATAAACATGGTCCTTAGTAATGGTAGGTGATGTTATTCATACATTTCAGTATTTCTTTAATATATTTATCTTGATAATTTAAATTTATATTTATCTTGGCAACTTTAAACTTCTTTTTCTACTTTTAAAACACCCTGAAGTAGAATTGTGTTCTGATTTTTAAGTAATTTAAAGCTGAGAGTAATGATGCAAGCTAACAGAAATTGTCAGGAAGGTATTTCATCAATATTAACATACTGTTTTTTAATATGTTCCAGAAACTGGGAGTGATTTTTCCATGTTTGAAGCATTGCGGGATACTATTTATTCTGAAGTAGCTACATTAATTTCTCAAAATGAATCTCGTCCACATTTTCTTATTGAACTGTTCCATGAGCTTCAGCTACTTAATACAGACTACTTGAGACAAAGGGCTTTATATGCATTGCAGGTATCTGGTACCTAGTATTCTGCTTTCTGCCCTTATTTGATATCACCTTCTTTATAAATTATACCAGGTTACTTTCTTAAACTAAAGCATGTCCTTGCCGGACGCGGTGGCGCGCGCCTGTAGTCCCAGCTACTCGGGAGGCTGAGATGGGAGGATCGCTTGAGCCCAGGAGTTCTGGGCTGTAGTGCGCTATGCCGATCGGGTGTCCGCACTAAGTTCGGCATCAATATGGTGACCTCCCGGGAGCGGGGGACCACCAGGTTGCCTAAGGAGGGGTGAACCGGCCCAGGTCGGAAACGGAGCAGGTCAAAACTCCCGTGCTGATCAGTAGTGGGATCGCGCCTGTGAATAGTCACTGCACTCCAGCCTGGGCAACAAAATGAGACTCTGTCTCAAAAAAAAAAAAAAAAAATAAGTAAAAAAAAAAAAAGCATGTCCTTGTTTCATATGCATTTTGATTTATTTTCTTTGTGCTTTCTTGACATTTTATTTAAAACTTCATGTATAGCTTAAGAAGCTCTAGATAAAGTCTCCTTTTGTGCAATTTTCAATGTTTTATCTTTAATGTTGTTCATTCCTCACAGTCAACCTATTAGGTGAAAATACTGCATTTGTTCTTCTATTTGCTTCTGCTTTTAAATTTGTGCCATTAATTTGTGATTTAGCTTTATACGTTTTGTATAAATAACTGTCTTATTTCCTTATTTAGGATATAGTATCCAGACATATTTCTGAGAGCCATGACAAAGGAGGAGAAAATGTAAAGTCAGTGAACTCTGGTACTTGGATAGCGTCAAACTCAGAGCTTACTCCCAGTGAGAGCCTTGCTACTACTGATGATGTAAGCTGACAATGATTAGTGAAATGTATGCAGTAAACAAAAGTTAAATAGGTTATTGTCAAATTATGAGTATACCTAATATATTTGATTTTTAGCTTTTAAAAAGCTGGGTATAATATATTACTTTATTTTGAGGGCGAGGTATAAATGCAATCAAAATATGGTAGCAGACACCAAAAATAATGTATAAATAGTGATAGATTATGAGGTCTAAAAAAGTCATATTTTCATTGCTCAAAATAGGGACTTATTCTTAACATACTTTTAATAAACATATGTTTATTCAAGATATTTAATAAACCACACAACAATCATAGTAAGAACCCTTACATAAATAAATATAAGATAAATCAAGTCTTTGGGTAAAAAATTCATGTAGGGAAAAAAAGTATTTTGATGTATTCTAATTGATGGAGAAAATTTTGAATGGAATATAAAGGACCTGGAAATGGAGAAGAGTGGTGAGGAGAATGGTAAATTCAGTAAACTTTGCCCTCCAAATAGTACCTATCACATAGTTGATTAAATGAATGACAAAACTGCTAGCATACTGAGGAGATAATGTGCTAAGGATTTGGGAATCACCTTTTTAAAGGTTAAGATCTTGATTTTATTATAAAATAATTGTGTATGGTCCTGGGAAAGCAAATACATTCTTTTTGATGACAACTCTTGTACCTAGACATTGATGGTTAAGAGTATATTGATTAGTAAATATCTGCTATAGGTAGAGAGTTGGAAGCATATTACTGTGTTTTTGCCCATTGTTGAAATGTTAACACAGTAAGTTTTTTCTGAAACAAGTGTTTTCTCAAAAGATGATCTTGTCTCTTTCAGATACAGTAATTTCCTTATGACTACTTAGAATTTCTGAATTTTTGCTCTTTAGTTTATACTCATGTTTAAAACAATATTTCCCCATATCATCTTTTCTACTTAAAATGTTTTCCCACTAGGTTTTAACTCCTGTACTATTCCGATCATAAACCTATGTCTAAAAACTACATAGTTTTAATTGACATTACAGTATCCTATATAAATTAATATACATAATTGTTCCTTTGGATTAATTGTTATAACTAATTAAAAATTGTATACTAATTGTTGTGGGAAATGTAGTTCAGCTGAATAAATAAAAAGTAGATGTGTTAGGTTATATTAAGATTTATTGGACAGTGAAATAACTTGGAAGAAAATAAGCAGTCTCCATTCTCAGACATATTTTTCAGTTATTTATAATCTTAACTCCATTGCTTTCCCTTTTATCCAAGTTTCACATAGGCGGCATTACTTACATTTATTTTAAAAGACTGGAGCACACTGGTCTGTACCATCAGTAGCACATTTTGAAAATTGAGGTACAATTTAGGATAAAGTTAACCTGAGAAGGTTTTAAAGTTAAATGAAATTTAAAGATGCTATAATACTGGATAATTAAGGATTTGAAATAAATAATTATACTTAGTATTATTTTTAAATAACTAAATCAGTTCTTTAATTTTTCTTCTAAAACTTAAATTCAGCATTAATGTCACCATCTTCCCTTTATTAATGCCATTTGATCATCAGCAGCAGCACAACATCCAGTGCCTATACCCATAGATCTAGAGCAGCACTGTCCGGTAGAACTTTCTACAGTGCCAGAAATGTTTTGTGTCTGCACTGTCTAATACAGTAGCCATTGTTAGCTACACATGCCTAGCAAACGTGTGAAATGCAGCTATTGTGACTAAGGAACTAAATTTTAAATTTTATTTAATTTAAATAGCCATATGGTTAGTGGTTACCATATTGGATAGATCTAGAGTCTAATTTTTGTGCTTGTAGGGCATGGTCCTTTGAACTCAACTCATGGATTTTTATATACACATTTCAAGGTATGTAAAAGTCTTGCTCAGGGAAGAGAGAAATGAAAGTGAGAATGGGCATCTGGGAATTACAAGTTGAGGACAGAGTGGAGGAACTGAAGTTTAGGAAGAAGAAAAAAACACTTTGCATACTCTACTTTAACTGTAATAAAATGGTAAAAGCACATCTATATTCAAGTCTTACTTGAAGGAACAACAAAATGGTTTGCCCATTTCTTAAAAAGTGTTCCCCAATGCCTGAATTTCCTTTTTTAATCAGGGACAAATTTTTTATTTCATATTTAAAGATAGAATACTTAAAAAGATCAATAGCTAGAGGAAAGAAATAATTGTGAAATTTTTCTATCAAAATCTGAGACTCCCTCCTACTCCCACTATATGTCACACTATACACAAAATTAGTTTGAAATAACTTAAGGTTCTATAAAAGTTAAAACTAGAAAACTTCTAAAAGAAAATGGGAGGGAATGTTCATTACCTTGAAATAGGCAAAGATTTTCTAGCATATAGGAAGCAGTAAATGTAAAAGAAAAATATTAATAATTAAGACTTCACAAAAACAAGAACTTTTTGCTTTTCAAAAGATATTATTAAGAGAACATAATCCCAGTATATATATCTGACAAATATCTGGTATACAGACTACATAAAGAACTCTTACAATTCAAATATAAGACAAACAACTCAGTAAAGAATGGGCAAGGGATTTGAACAGGCGCTTCATGAAACAAGATGTATGAGTATGCAAATTACAACCATACACAATACCAGCTTACACCCAGGAGAATGGCTAAAATGGTTAAAAAGATGGACAATAAGAAGTGTTGGTGAGAATGTGGAACGATTAGAACTCTCACACTACTTGTGGGAATGTAAAAATTGCACAACCACTTTGGAAAGCAGTTTGGCAGTTTCTTATAAAGTTAAGCATAAACTTGACATGTGACCCAGCAATTTCTCTTCTAGGTATTCATCCAAGAGAAATGAAAACATATGTGCACAAAAATACTTGTACACTAATGTTCATAGCGTCTTTAGTCATGATAGCCTCAAACTGGAACATCAGCAGATAAATGGATAAACTGTGGTATATCCATACAATGGAATACTATTCAGCCATTAAACATAACGAACTTCTGAAGCACACAACAACATGGATTAATTTCAGAAACAGTACTGAGCGAAAGAAGCCAGACACTGAAGAACATATACTGTGGTTCCATTTATATGAAGTTCTAGAATCAGCAAAACTGATCTACAGTGATAGCAATCATGAGTGTGGGGTATGGTCGAGCTTGACTGTAGAGAGTTGTGAAAAACTTCCTGGGCTGATGGAAATGGTCTTTATCTTTAGGGAAGCTGGTTACATGAGTGTACACATTTGTCAAACTCATCAAACTGTACATTTAATATGGTGCATTGTATATAAATTATATTTCAATAAAGTTAATTTTTAAAAAAATATGAATGATGTCATGTTTTTGTTCTGATATGAGATAACCAGGTATATATACAAAGGTACATTATTATTAGGGTTTGGAGATAGCAGAATGTCCATGAGGGTATAGAAATAACTTAAAATGTAAAATTTGCCAATTTAGAATTTAATCATTAGCTGGCTGTGTATATTTTAAACTACATAATGACAAATGTTCTGCAAGGCTACTTAATATTTTTGTGTTCTTTGTGACTGTATTCAACCTTTAATAACTTTGGTTATATCATAATCTTGTTTGGATGGAATACACATGTAACTTATGAATATCTCTTTTAGGCGTATAGTTTTATGCAAATACTTAGTTTCCCTGTTAGATCCTTAATATTATAAAATTTTTAAAAGAAATATTAGTGATTTTTTATTTGTTTATTTTACTATAACTTAGGAAACTTTTGAGAAGAACTTTGAAAGAGAAACAAATAAAATAAGTGAACAAAATGATGCTGATAATACTAGTGTCATGTCTGTATCTTCAAATTTCGAGCCTTTTGCAACAGATGATCTAGGTAAGCAGAATTTTGTATAACCTTAAAACACGACTTTAAGTTGATCCAGTATGGTCTTTGAATTGCATTGATAAACAAAAGTCTAAAAAGGCAAGGTATGATTGAAAGAACATGGACTTAAGTGTTCATCAGTCTAAATTCAAGAATATTCTGTCAACTCTTTTACTGTGGCCCAACCATCTAACCTTTCTGACTCTGCATATGTTACCGAAATGGGGACATTATCTACCCTGCTATGTTCTTGTGAAAAATATATACATATGATAATGTATACGAAATGCCCAATTAGAGTAGTATCTGGAACTTGTCAAAGCAAATTTCCCTTCCTTACATTGTGACATTATTTTTTTACTAATACGTTTTGATGAATATGTGAAAAAGTCTGCTTTACATATTCTAAAATATTTTTGTTCTGAATGCAGGTAATACTGTGATTCACTTAGATCAAGCATTAGCCAGAATGAGAGAATATGAGCGTATGAAGACTGAAGCTGAAAGTAACTCAAATATGAGATGCACCTGCAGGATTATTGAGGATGAAGATGGTGCTACCGCCACTACAGTTAATAATTTAGAAGGTAGGGCCGGGCGCTGTGGCTCACGCCTGTAATCCTAGCTCTTGGGAGGCCGAGGAGGGCGGATTGCTCAAGGTCAGGAGTTCAAAACCAGCCTGAGCAAGAGCGAGACCCCGTCTCTACTATAAATAGAAACAAATTAATTGGCCAACTGATATATATATATAAAATTAGCCGGACATGGTGGCGCATGCCTGTAGTCCCAGCTACTCGGGAGGCTGAGGCAGGAGGATCGCCTGAGCCCAGGAGTTTGAGGTTGCTGTGAGCTAGGCTGACGCCACGGCACTCACTCTAGCCTGGACAACAAAGCGAGACTCTGTCTCAAAAAAAAAAAAAAAAAAAAGAAAAGAAGGTGTCTGTTTTATTGATTAGAAGTAGTAATCATAATTCCATGTAAAAAATTAAAAACCCTACTTGATATATAATAGTAGTTTTATTACTGCTTTCTTTTAGTTGTTAGAGGTAATAAAACTACATAAATGTTTATTTGTATTTTAGCATAAAATCATCAGAATATAGTAGTTAAAGCTTTGCATAAGGGCATATGTATAATGTCATAGGCTTTGTTTTTGCTAATGTATCATTTTCTTTTTAAAAATAGAAACTCCTGTTATTGAAAATCATAGTTCACAACCACCTGTAAGTGAAGTTTCTACTGTCCCGTGTCCTAGAATTGATACTCAGCAGCTGGACCGGCAAATTAAAGCAATTATGAAAGAAGTTATTCCTTTTTTGAAGGTAAGCATTAATTTTTTAAAGAAATAAACTTTCTGTGTTTTGTTTTTTGATTTATATAAAAGACTTCATTGTAATAAATTCTGACAATACCGGTAAACAAAAGGAAAAAAAACTGAAAATCACTCATAATTTTGTTACCCAGCGATAGCCCTACCAGCATTTCTTGAGCTTTTCTGTACTGTTTTGTACACATAAATGCATGTTCTGCTTTTCTCATTTACTATACCATAAACTTCTTTCTAAATCATTTTGTAGGTTTGAATAGTGGGGGAAAAAGAACTGAGAAAACGTTATAGAATTGGCTTAAATGAATTCAATAGCAGAAGAGGGATTAGAATCTTGAGATTACTTAATATAGATTATTTATAGACTCACCTCAAAAAGTTAGCCATGATTTGGATTATTTTATAGTTCACACATTCTTCTAAAGGAAGATTAAAAAGAGATTTGTCTCAAGTGGTTTGTTACGAAAGTTAGGAGATAATGTTGATCCTCAAGACATTTCATAATATCTAGAGACATTTTTAGTTGTCAAGATGGTGTGTGGAGGAGGGTTGAGCTGGTGTTATTGGCATCTAGAGTTTAGAGGCCAGGGTGCTGCTAAACATTCTACAATGCACAGGACATCAGTGGTAAAGAGGTTGAGAAACTTAGTTAGAAGATAATAGGGAATTTGGTAGAAAGTACATGGTTGTAAGAGTAGTTGAAATTAAGTGAACTGCAAACAGGAAGATAGGCAAAATAGAAATGGGTAATTCTCCTTAAGGTACAAAAAGGAAGTGATGAAACGTATTGGATTAGCCACATCTTTTACTGGCTATTCTCTGGTGTGTCAGAATTGTCAAACCTCTGTCAATATGTATAGGGGTGGGAATCTGGCTTATCTTATGAACATATATTTCTAAACATATATTTGAAAATTGAGAAGCATCTATGCAAGAAAAATAAAATTTCATATTATATGAATTAATATTTTTTAAATAATAAGTAAGTTTATATCCTAACCAACAAGGATTTTTTCTCAGGAGCACATGGATGAAGTATGCTCTTCTCAGCTTTTAACTTCAGTAAGACGCATGGTTTTGACCCTTACCCAGCAAAATGATGAGAGCAAAGAGTTTGTAAAGTTTTTTCATAAACAACTTGGAAGTATATTACAGGTAAGAGTTTATACATTTATGACTTACCAATATGTACCATGTGGTTAGGGTTTTTTTGGTGGTGGGCCATTTTCTGACATTACACAATTTCTTCGGGTAGACATGCAATCTAGTATCCACTTGGGATGATATTTTAATACTTTTTAGGTTAGTACTTTAATTGGGTAAAAAAAATTATATTAGGACTTATCTGTATCTTCATATAACTTGATCATCTCTAAGACATGTCTCAACTCTTAAAAATTTGATTGGTTTGATTTTTCTTCTACCTAATGAGATCATTTTAAGTTTGAAATATTTACAAAGTATTCTGTGACTTTTTCTAAAATAATTTTTGACTAATCTGGGAGATTTCGGAAGCCAGAAACCAGCTACTAATTGTAGAAACTTTTTAAGCTGTAACAGTAATCTTAAATTATATTAAGGCAGTGGTTCTCAGCTAGGGGAGATTTTGCCTCCCAGGAGACATTTAGCACTGTGTGCAGACATTTAGTTTATCACAGAAAACGGGATGGAAGGAGGTAGGGAGGAAATAGGGAAGGGCAGGTCCTGGCATTTAATGGGTAGAGGCTAGGCATCTTGTTAAATATTTTACAGTACATTGGACAGTACCTCACAACAAAGAATTATCAGGCCTTTAATGTCAATAATGGCAAGTTTGAGAGATCCTGTGTTAAGTAAGGTTACCTTATTTACCTCATATGACAATATCTTTACCTTTATATTTACCTGAATATTTTCCCATTGAGATAGTTCAGTGATGTATATTATTGTTCTAAATTAGATGATACATTTTTCTTTTCATCTATATTACAGAATTTTCTTATGAAACATTGGCTTTCTATTTCTATGTTTAAAACTGATTTGAGATACAGTATTATCACTGTCAACTAACTGTTTTAAAACTTAGGCTTGATGCAAATTTCTGTCAGTATAATTTTCCATTTTGTTAGTATTAAGACTAAAGTATTTGTTCAATATTAGTTCCTAACTTGTCCTCACTTTATTTAATCTAATACTACTAACACATAAGGAATGTAAGACATTGATGGTATTGTGCGTTGTAGGAATCCTTTGAATAGAATTCACTGGCAAAATTTACTGGCAGAAAACTGAAAGACTGTGGAGAAGATCTTGTAGAAATATCTGAAGTATTAGAAATGTTTAGAATAACTTTTACATAAATGTATTTTTATAAGTTTTACTAGCTAGTTTATTCCTATAGAAAGAAGTAACTCCATTTTAGAATGAGGCTGAAAGAGAAATTATTTATAATTTATTTTTTTATCAAGATCCAAGCAGCCCTTCCTCAGTTTTACCTGCTGTTAATCATAATTGTGGGCAGATCTCAAAGCATTAATTCAGACATAAAAGTCTAAGAAAGTTTGACTGCTTTCCTTTTACTCCATTCTGATATTTTCACAGGGGACATACTTGAAGAATAAAATAAAGTTAATTTTCATTAAATATTGCCCAGAATATTGAAAAGTTTTTATGAGCTAAAGCTTAAATTACTGTTGTCTACATTTTTCCTTCTGAAAACTGTTCAGGCATTTTTTTTTCACCAAGCATCCAGCATATGTACTTCTTCCTATGGTTGTACTAGATAAGCTAGTCCTTTTTTTTTTTTTGAGACAGAGTCTCACTTCTCTTGCCCGGGCTACAGTGCTGTTGCGTCAGTCTAGCTCACAGCAACCTCAAACTCCTGAGCTCAAGTGATCCTCCTGCCTCAGCCTCCAGAGTAGCTGGGAATACAGGCACGTGCCACCATGCCCGGCTAATTTTTTTCTATGTATTTTTTAGTTGGCCAATTAATTTGTTTCTATTTATAGTAGAGACAAAGTCTCGCTCTTGCTCAGGCTGGTTTCGAACTTCTGACCTTGAGCAGTGCACCTGCCTTGGCCTCCCAGAGTGCTAGAATTACATGCAGGCGTGAGCCATCACGCCCAGCCTAAGCTAGTCTTTTGACAGGAGAGAGGGACAGGCTTGTTTGCTAGTTGTTTGCTTGTTTTCTAAATAGCATAGTCCATATTTTTAGGAAGAAAGAAAAGAAGTGATTTTATAAAAATAATTTGTAGAATATAATAGACTTGTTTATTTGATGATTGTCAATTTGGAATAATAAAAAGGGTCAGAATCTAGTTTAAAGAGAGTTTATTTATGCGCAGAGTTTGAGGAAAGCCACCTGGGAAGCATAATTCCAAAGAATGGAAGATGATGTTTCCAAAGTGTAGACGTTTGGGATCATTTATGTAGACAGTGTTTAGGGAAGCATAACAGAATTTCAACATCTTTTTATGTAAGGCTTAATGCATAGCTACAACGATATGATTAGTTGAAGTGGTCTTTTTCTTTTGGAAAAGGTATATTTAACATTGCACACCAAAGATGCAACAGTCATGGGGCTTTTGTGCCATCTTGTCTGAGTTAGGTATAGGACAATAAAGGAGGTAGTTAATCTTTACCAAAGATCAGTGATTAGAATGGGGGGGAGGTCTGGTCTCTGGTTTCTCCGAGTTATTAATATTTACAGAACAAGAACAATGAGGAAAGAGAGTTAATTTACAAACTAAGAAACAGAAGTTGCAAACATGCTACTCAGTCTCCAGGATTTCACTTCCCCCTTGGCACAATAAATTTAGAGGATCTTGAAATTTTCTTTTCTTTTATGTGATTCTTTATTTCAACTTGAATAGAGCTAAAGTTTACTTTTAAATTGATTCTGAGGAAAAATTTAAATTAGAATGACTGGTTGACTTATGTGAAACAAGTACCTTTAAAAGTACTCCATTGGTGCCATTTAGATATGGAAGACTTTGTATTTTCCTCTCATATCACTTATTACTGTACTGTATGGAAACTTTCTTGGGATTAGGAATCCCCTGTCTTACTCATTTATGCCCAGCAATTATATTAAGTAGAGGCTAAGCTTATGGATGACCATGTATATTCTTTTCTTTCCGTGGTGTATATGCTTTTTAAGCAGAACTGGCAAGATTCCTGCTTAGTAATACAGTAATATTCTTTAGTATTATTAACCTATTTTTCCTTAGTAATCTTAGCCATTAGTTTTAAGTTTTTCAATACTTAAAAGTAATAAAATTATTTTTCTCTACATAGGTATTGTTAATCGTCTGCATTGCTCTACCCATAATTGAATTTTACTATCATCTTAAACTCATTTGGTCTTCTTTGAATAGGATTCACTGGCAAAATTTGCTGGCAGAAAACTGAAAGACTGTGGAGAAGATCTTCTTGTAGAGATATCTGAAGTGTTGTTTAATGAGTTGGCTTTCTTTAAGCTCATGCAAGATTTGGATAATAATAGTATAACTGTTAAACAGAGATGCAAAAGGAAAATAGAAGCAGCTGGAGTGATACAGTGTTATGCCAAAGAGGTAATAATAAATAATATCCATTTTGATTTTAGGATAATTAGCACATACGTATAGTTCTTGATCATTATTAATAATAACTATAATCATATTGTACCTCAGCAAAAGTAAGTTAATTTTAGTAATCAATCAGATTGTAAATTAGTACATGTGCTAGCCACATATGGAATCTGAGGAATAACAACAGTGGCTAAAGATCAGGAATACAGACCAGAATTAATGCTAAATGTATGGTGTCAGCCAGTTCACGTTATTGTACCTTATTCAGGCCTTAGGAGAGGAGGACTGGGCTCCTGCTGCCTGCCATATATATTTTCTGAAAACATATATTACCCAGAGGTCACTCCCAGCCAACACACATGCTTGTTTATTAATTAGGAATTTGGTTGCAACATTGTCAAATTAGTCTTGATCACATGTGAAATTGGTGAGTTTGTTTCCCCAAACTTGAAGCGTACCAGCAGGCTTTTCCCCTAGATTTGCACCCTTTTCTTGACCCTCTTTTATGAGAGGGAAAGCAAGCCAAGACCCAGACAGAAAAAGATAGCCCTTCTTCCTTAGAATCAAAGTAGACGAAGTCAAGCTATCTATTCCACATTTAACCATGATGTTTATATTCTAGATATAAGTAAATTAATTTCGGATAATTTTAACCTTTGCTAAGAACTTGAGGAAAATAAAATGTCATAATACCATAATAAATGATTGGAAAATAATGTATCATAATAAGTGATCAGAAAACAGTCTCCTTTCAATCTACTTTGATAGTCTCATGAGGCTCTTTGAGGGGATGAAACATGAGTTAAGACATGAAAGACAAGGAGTTCATAATTAAGAATAAAGGGAAGAACATTCCATGTAGAGAAAACTAAGTGTAAAGGTTCTAAGTCAGGAGTGAGCAGTTTGGAGAATAGAAAGCCGAGGAGAGCAGGAACACATTACATGCTAAAAGTGTAAGAGATGAGGTAACAGAGGTAGGTAAAGTCAAATTATGGGGCCTAAGAAATTGTGGGAAGGGCCTTTTATTCTAAGTATGATCGAAACCCATGGGAAAGTTTGAAATAGAGGAATGACATAATCTCATGTGCAGTTTAAAAGATTTGTCTGGATACCATATTGAACAGAGATTGTGGGTGAGTAGAGATAGAAGCAAAGAGACCAGTTGTAAGGCTGTTGCAGTAGTCCAGGTAATAAATGATAATTTAATGTCTTAGATTACTGTGCAACACTGATGTAATTAGTGTAATTGAGTCAATAATTAATATGTGGTTAATGTAATTAGTGTAATTGAGTCAATAATTAATATGTGGTTAATGATAGCAAGCAAAGGCTGGTTCCTAATTTTCTGGCTTGTGCATCTGGGGCATGAAGTGTGATTTACTGAGGTTGGGAAGACTGAGGGAGGATGGGGCTTGGAAAGAAGGGAATCAAGATTTTTGTTTTTGACTTGGTAAGTTTGAGACACTTGTTGGATAGCCAAGGAGTACTCAGGTGTACAGTGTTGGTTTTGTTTTATTTTTTAAAAGATTTAAATAAAAGAGTTTAATTTACATTTTTTTTTTTTTTTGAGACAGAGTCTCGCTTTGTTGTCCAGGCTAGAGTGAGTGCCGTGGCGTTAGCCTAGCTCACAGCAACCTCAAACTCCTGGGCTCGAGTGATCCTTCTGCCTCAGCCTCCCGGGTAGCTGGGACTACAGGCATGCGTCACCATGCCCGGCTAATTTTTTTTTTTATATATATATCAGTTGGCCAATTAATTTCTTTCTATTTATCGAGTGATCCTTCTGCCTCAGCCTCCCGGGTAGCTGGGACTACAGGCATGCGCCACCATGCCCGGCTAAATTTTTTTTTATATATATATCAGTTGGCCAATTAATTTCTTTCTATTTATAGTAGAGACGGGGTCTCGCTCTTGCTCAGGCTGGTTTTGAACTCCTGACCTTGAGCAATCCGCCCGCCTCGGCCTCCCAAGAGCTAGGATTACAGGCGTGAGCCACAGCGCCCGGCCTGAATTTACATTTTTAAGAAAGCATTCAGCTCTTTGGATAATGGTTTAAAGTTTACTGAATACCTACCTAAGTGTATTGCTAAATGGTGTTTTATTGATTTGCTTTATAGGCCAAAAGGATTCTTGAAGATCATGGCTCACCTGCTGGAGAGATATATGATGAAGACAAAGTATGTGCTAATTAATTTTTGCCTAAACATAATGCTTTTGAAACACAGAATTAAATAATTTTAGTAGCTTTTACCTTAGCGTTTGATAGCAGCATATTTTATCAAATGTCTGCTCTTCTGACAAACCTTTTTCTTTGAAAAATAAAACTAGATGTCAAAATTGATTTTTTTGTTTTTATTAGATAATGATTATTTTTATGATAGACTTATTATAGACCTTTTAAAAATGTACTTTAAAGAATTAATTACTCAAATTTATTTGTGACTAGGACAAGGATGAGACTGAAACGGTTAAGCAGGCTCAAACATCTGAGGTGTATGATGGCAAAGGTCCCAAAAATGTAAGATCTGATATTTCTGATCAAGAGGAAGATGAAGAAAGTGAAGGATGCCCAGTGTCTATTAGTAAGTTAAAAGGCTCTGTACTATGTTCAGAGAAGCTATTTGTAGATCATTTACTGCAACAGTTTAGTAGATTGTAACAAATAGAGAATTATAAGAAGCAAAGAACTTTGATTTTGAATTTCACTTTGACCCTGACTAAATTACCTGGCTTTTCTGCACCACAGTTTTCTTGTACTTACTCTTTTAAGGATTTCAAATATTGTATGTAAAGCACCTGTGCCATGCAGGAATATGACAAATCTTAGCTATTCAGATTGAAGTGCTGAAATTTACTAAAAATTATGTATTGATCAACTTAGATCTGTCTAAAGCTGAAACTCAGGCTTTAACTAATTATGGAAGTGGAGAAGATGAGAATGAGGATGAAGAAATAGAAGAATTTGAAGAGGGCCCTGTAGATGTCCAGACTTCACTTCAGGCTAACACTGAAACTACAGAAGAAAATGAACATGACAATCAGGTATTTCCGTTGCAGACCAGCATACCTTCCACCAGTCTTATTTTAACTACTGAAAGCAGATCCTTCTGAAAAATGTCAAAATTTACATCTTCCCTATTCTCATTTTCATGATACAAGTCTCATTAATATGCTTATTAGAATCTGAAATCCTAGTTTATTTTTATGTTCGTCAATGTATAACTTTAAAAGCACTTTAATCTTTTATAGTTTTATCCTAGTCATACATGGAAATACTGTGTAACAAAAATAAGAATATTCCATTTCTTACCTCTGTCTCATCCTGCTTCATAGGAAACACTTTGTACAATTTCTTCTGTTATTTACCTCTATATTTCTGAATAATATGCACATGTGTGTATATTTGGATTAAATCCATATTTAACCAAATATTTAGAGTTAACCAAACTATGTAAATATTGTTGACTACTGAACCAAGTAAATACTGTTCATTGCATAGTGTTATTTTTCTCTTGAGTTTAATAATTATCTCAATTTTTTTTTTCTAGAGAAAAACACAAGACCAGGTTTATTTCATACATTATTCACACATTTTTTTCATTTTCTAATTTATACATAATATACAAAGAAGTGAAGTTAACATTATTTCATATGAACCAATAAGAGCCAGGACTTAAGACAAACTGGTCCAGAAACAATCCATATCAAAAGGAGACATTCAAAAGTAAAGCCTAGGTGTTTTTGCCCAATTAAATTTCTTTAATCTGAAATGCCATTTTCAGATTTTACCAAATTTCATGCTAACTTCCTAAAAGGTGGAATTGGAGTGGGCACCAAAAATGGCAGACCGTAACATTTCTACAAGGATGTGTTTTTCTAGAATAGGCCTAAGAATATTGGGAAGATTGGGTTGTCAGCATTGGGACACATGGGAACATCAGGACCCCAGAGGGTTGAGTTTCCCAATGTGTAATATTCTCTAGAATTGCCATTTTCTAAATTTGCAGAGATTTAACTGCTTATGCCAACAGAGGGCAAGAATGAAGACTAGGAATTCAATTGTACAAAGACAGGTTAGTCATTATCAATATCCAACAAGGACAGCTTTGATCCTGAAACCATGGGCTGATACTGGGAACAAAATTTTGACAAGGGGCCAAGACACTCTAAGGCTGGCAAAACAAAGTAGGAAAGAGTGGAAGCGAGCAACTTTGTGTGGGGGTGGAGGAAGCACTGCTACTGTGACTGGGACATGCTGATGAACCAGTGTGACTACAAGAAGGAACAATGACAGGTGGCAGGATTTAATGGCCTCAACAAGGAATGTTGGGTTAGAAAACTAGAATAACTCAACATCAAACATGAAAAAGTATGCCTGGCACCCCAAACTTTATGCCATTATTTTTAGGTTCATGATATGAACAGCTAAGTGATAAAACCTTTATATTCAATATTGTGCTCAGAAGGACTGCTTTTCCTCTGCAGACCTCTAGTAAAAAATCCCTTCCGTGTTCAACTGACAGCATGTTCATTTTAGTTTTCAGCACTAAACACTAAACATAAGTGGGTTAACATAAATGTTCATACAAAATACTGACTTCAACAAAATACAAAGCACTTTCTTTATCTTTCAGAAACTGAATATACACAGCAAGTTTTTCCAAAATATTTTCATAGGCAAAGGATTAAAAACGATTTTAATTATACACATATGCTCACAATTTTGCCTTAAAAAGATTGTTGGGAAATGTACATAAGGCCGCTTGTAAATGTACATCATGTTACTGTTATGTCTTATGTCCAGAGGAAAAAATGGTATCATACAGATTTGCTCTTACTTGGGAATAGGCTATTCAAAAATACAGTACTCTTCTGTACAAAGAAAAAAGTCACATCACATTTAATAAGATGGAAAAAGCATTGGCTCCATGGTAACCAAATATCTCAGTCCAATACTTTCTATTATGCACAATACCCTGACTTCAATTGAAAGTGATCCAATCCTAGCATGTCCATATTAACAGAGTCGACAACTATGTTATAAAACAAAACGTTTCTCACAATAATAAAAAGAAAGTTGGTTCATACTTCTTAAACCATATAAAGATAAAAAATTTTTAAAAAATCACTCTCAATTTGGAGAAATAAATTCACATTATACAACACTATATTGCCAGGTCAAAGAGGGCAGGGACATAAATGTACACTAAAATGCAAATGTTTCCCAAAGAGATAAAACAAATTCCATTTACAGCATGAAGGTTTACAAATGTACACCTGTATAACCAAGGAAGGTGTCACTACTAAATTAGCAAGGCTTTTTATAACAATATTGAAACAAGATTTGCTTTCAAAGTGTAAACTTACACCTATTACTACACACACAATGCATATATTTATAGAAAGCAAAAAAAGCTATTTGAATATGTAATCATGCTTAAATGTTAAGCTATCAAATTCACTTTTCAGTGGCCCCTTTTCACCTCTATCTGATTCCTACTTCTTGCATCTACTGTGAAAAAGCAAAATAAAGCTCAACACTTCCTCAACATAGTTTTGTAATTCTATATACAAAACAAAATACAAATTTTTACTCTTTCTCATTGCAAACCAAACTGAAAAGTTAATATGTGACTTAACTTTTCATTTAGTGCACTTAACTGCATGGAAGTGTCACCATGATTTTGTTTTTTCTAACTCTTACAACAATTACATATGTAAGTATATACAATATTTCTGTACATTGCCAGAGACATTTTAGGGCAGTATTTGTATTAAAACAGCACATCTTCTGTAAATGTTAGGTTCTTTTCATCTCAAATCATTTTATTCTCGTCTTTCTTGCTGCATTTTTATTTGCATGATAGTTTGTGAATTACCAAAATACAACTTAACTTTCTTTTTAAAATATTAATATTTATGCAGTTGATTGTTAATCTGTTATAAAAGGCGTCACATCACGCAAAAGAAAAAAAATAAGGATTATAATTCTATATACATCTCTATAAACCTGTTGTGCTATGGGGTTGTAGACCTACCAGACTGCAAGCCAGTTTATTAAAAGAATACTGTACTTTTTCCTTTAAAAACTATTTTTGTGACTTTACAAGGTAAAAATTTACAAAATATGTGACAGCTTTTTTTTGATAGTTACATCATATACAGGCATTCTGTGCTTTGCCAGCAATCCAATCTGATCAATTTTTTAGTTACTTCATTTTCCTTGCATATATACCGAAGTCTTTGCTATATCCTCCAATAGCTGTATAAACCTCCCAGTAGAATTTCCTACATGAACAAAATTTGTAATTTTTTCCTTCCCCTTTTTCCTTCCTGATACATTCCCCCTTTCTGCTTCATTCTAGATTTGTCTATTCCTTAGAACTGTTGAATAGCTATTAGCCTAGGAATCCCCTTACCATTTTTCATTATCTCTATTCCTGGAATCTACTTTTTATCTTACTTGGTTTATTGCCTTAATTTAGTGGAACATATCCCAGTAACTTGCTGAGAAAAGAGTACATAAAATATAAATATTTTGAGACTTTATGTATCTGAGAAAATCTTCTTCCATGTTTGTTGAAAATATTTTCCCTCAGGTCTCTGAAGTTGCTGCATCTTTATCTAGTTTCTGGTGTTACTATTGAGAAGTTTGATGCCTTTCGTAGTTCTCATCCTTTGTACACAGTGGTCTCTGCTTAGTCAACAGATTGACTTTCACAGTATCACAGTGCTTGTGTTCACGTGAGCCTTGTTTGACTTAATAATGGCCCCAAAGTGCAAGAGTAGTGATGCTGGCACATTGTTATAATTGTTCTATTTTATCATTAGTTGTTAATCTCTTCCTGTGCCTAATTTATAAATTAAACTTTATCATAGATAGGGAAAAACATAGTGTGCTCCCATGGATAAGAGAGGACTATGGTATATCTTATTTTTCCTCCCTACTGTAGAAGTTTTTCCTCCTGGAATTCTGAAATTTTACAGTGATATACATGTTGGAGTCTTTTTTCATTCACTGTAGTGGGTTAAAAAAACTATTTTTAAAGTCTGTATTATGTCCTTTGGTTTGGTACATTTTCTTTTATTTTCTTTATTTCTTCCACACCATTTTCTCTTTTCTCTTCTGGAATTAATATTATTAGACATTATTAGCCCTCATGTGTTGGTCTAATTTTCTCTTCCTTTTATTGTTCTTATTCACCTCATCTTTTTGTTTTGCTCTCTTGGAGATTTTCTTGACCGTAAGAGTTGTATTATATGAAATTATTTATTTTTTATTTTATTTTTTTTGATACAGAGTCTCACTCTGTTGCCCAGGCTAGAGTGCCATAGCATCAGCCTACCTCAAATAGCAACCTCAAACTCCTGAGATCAAGCGATCCTCCTGCCTCAGCCTCCTGAGTAGCTGGGACTACACGCACTCACTACCATGCCCGGCTAATTTTTTCTATATGTTTTAGTTGGCCAATTAATTTCTTTCTATTTTTAATAGAGATGGGTTCTTGCTCTTGCTCAGGCTGGTTTCAAACTCCTGACTTTGAGCGATCCGCCCACCTTGGCCTCCCAGAGTGCTAGGATTATAGGTGTGAGCCACTGTGCCTGGCCATATGAAATTATTTTTATTTTCATTTTAGCTGTTATATTTTTAATTTCTAAACACTTTTTTCCTTTTTTTTTTCCTGATCGTTCCATTTTTATAGTGCCCTGTTATTTTATGATAGCAGTATCTTCTGTTATCTGTCCAGAGGCTTTCTTCAAATATTTGCTGAACCTTGGTTGTTATAGTAAAAAATGATGTACCAAAAAGTGAGTTGGGGGGTTTATTGGGCTTCACTGCAGGACATTTGGGGAAAGAAGCCAGCATTTTCATAGAAATTGCCAAAACATCAGTATCTATTTGTGTTTCCTTTGGAGTGGTTTAGATTCTAAAGAAGGATCTTCTAGTCTTATGCCTGGTGTATATAAGCTTGGCTTCTGGTATTCTGGAATTAGATGTGGGAATGGGGTGAGATCCCACTGTTATACAGACTTGCACTAAATTCTTTGTTTTCAGTACGACACTTCATTTGTGCCTTTTGTACCCTACCCCTAGTTCCAGCTGGCCCCCAGGTCTCAGGCTCTCTAGTTCAGGTCTCTAAAATAAATTATTATAATCTCCCACTTTCTATTGAAGTTGGAGCAGGAAACACAGATGTCCACATTTTTCTTATATAGTTTTTTTTTTTTTTTTGAGACAGAGTCTCACTTTGTTGCACAGTCTAGAGTGAGTGCCATAGCGTCAGTGTAGCTCACAGCAACCTCAAACTCCTGGGCTCAAGCGATTCTCCTGCCTCAGCTTCCCCAAGTAGCTGGGACTACAGGCATGCGCCACCATGCCCACCTAATTTTTTCTATATATATTAGCTGGCCAATTAATTTCTTTCTATTTATAGTAGAGATGGTCTTGCTCTTGCTCAGGCTGGTTTCGAACTCCTGACCTCGAGCAATCCGCCCGCCTCAGCCTCCCAGGGAGCTAGGATTACAGGCATGAGCCACCGCGTGCCCAGCTCTTATATAGTTTTAAACAACTACCACCACTGCCTTTTCATCACCAGCCTGTGCATCACCACCATACTCTTTTCTTTCTTGATCTTGTCAGTTATGAGGTGAAATAGTTTTTGTTCCATTCATCTGCTGAAGGCATTCAACTTTGTTAATCTTCTCCTCCTGCTTAGTTCCTTTCCCATTTTCTTAATGTCTACGCATATAGGTGTCTTGTAGTTTCCTTTAAGATAGAATCTGACAAAAATAATAGGATCTATTTTATTCCAGTTCTCTATTATTTTGAGGTTGTTTAAGAAAAAAAGGAAACCTTTTTACTTAGTCCTTTTGAAATTGCAACCAAAACCTCCTTCTTGAAACACTTTTATAAGATATTTTTTAAATTCTCTTGGGGCCAAGGATAGTGGCTTATGCCTGTAATCCTTTGGGAGGCCAAGGTGGGAGGACCACTTGAGGCCAGGAGTTTAAGACCAGCCTGGGCAGCATAGTGAGACCTTGTTTCTAGCAAAAGAAAAAAATTTCCCTTGTGTGAAAGTCTCTGCTTGGACAAAAGCCACACATGAGTAACCATCTCTTTATAAAGTGACCATATGTTTCAGACCCAACTATTAAAAATATTTTTCCTTCTAGGTTCTACAACATGACTTTGAAAAAACAGGAGAAAGCAAAAATGTCCCATCAGAACAAGAACTCACTAGTAAAGGTAAATTTAAATAAGTGTTCAATTTTAAGATTATTTAAAGTGCCCTTTATGTACTTACAAGCTAAAAAATTCTAAATAGCAAATATAAGTTTGAAGGCACTTTGGACCTGATGTAAATCTTTTGTGTAAAACATAAGGAGTCTTTGTTTTTGCAAACAGCAGTTAAAGAAAAGTAAACAAACATTTTCTTGCACAGAAAAATTTTGTAAAGAGCATCTTTAGGTACAAATGTGGGGGATTTTTTAAAAAATACCTATTTGTGGGTTTTATCCTTAAAAGTCCTGATTCGTTGGAAATTGGGTGGATTTTAGGAATCTAATTTTTGAAGCATTCCCAGATGATTCTAATCAACTAAATTTGGGAATCATTGGTAAGAAAAATTTGTAGTTTTCTTTTTGGTCTTAAATGTCTTGATTACTCTCAGTCACGCACATTGTAATAATAGAGGGTAAACTTAACATCTATTGCATTACACTAATAATAAGCATTTCTTTTGATGACAGATGACCAAGATAACTCTCCTGTGAAACCCTGTTACCTCAATATCTTGGAAAATGAGCAACCTTTAAATAGCACTGCTCATAAGGACTCACTTACTACTATTGATTCATCTAAACAGCCTAACCCTTTGCCATTACCTTTAACTGAAATTGAAACCTTAGTGCCTAGAGTCAAAGAAGTTAAGTCTGCTCAGGAAACTCCCGAAAGTTCTTTGGCTGGAAGTCCTGATACTGAATCTCCAGTGTTAGTAAATGACTATGTAAGTATCATTTACATTTCCAAATATTTCTGTTTTTCATTTCTGTGCATATTTCTTCATTTTCAGGTTAACATTTTCATCATATAAACTAAACTCCATTTTGTGTTTAGATTTAGAACCTGTTGTAACATTTTCATTTTTTATTCACACTTTAAACTTGAGCAGAAGGGTGGTAGTGAATTGAGATCACCATCTCAAAATCTACAAGCTGTGTTCTACTTTTTATAGTTTTGATAACCTAAGAGATGAGTTGTAGGTGGCAATTTTGAGAGAGTTCAAGTTCAGATCTGAAGTGATGATGATACATGAATCATTTTTCTTATACACTACCCATTCTTGACTTCCTCACTAAATCTTTGGTTTCTTTTTGGTTTTTTTCTTGAGACAGAGTCTCACTCTATTGCCCGGACTAGAGTGCCGTGGGGTCTGCCTAGCTCACAGGCAGTCTCAAACTCCTGGACTCAAGTGATGTTCCTGCCTCGGCTTCCCGAGTAGCTGGGACTACAGGCATGCGCCACCATGCCCGGCTAATTTTTTCTATATATTTTAGTTTGCCAATTAATTTCTTTCTATTTTTAGTAGAGATGGGGTCTCGCTCTTGCTCAGGCTGGTTTCCAACTCCTGACCTTGAGCGATCCGCCTGCCTCGGCCTCCCAGAGTACTAGGATTACAGGCGTGAACCACCGCGCCCGGCCTGATTTATAACATAGTATTTGATTCAAGGTAAGTACTTTTAGGTCTAAGGATTATGCTTCATTTTTAAAAAATTTCTATTTTTAAATATATTTAGTTATGATTTCATAATTTCTCAGAAAGGGGGTTTATAATATTTCAAAAACATTAATAGAAAGAGAAGATCTTTTAACTGTTTTGTTTGCCTCACTACCAGTAAAATTATACATTTAAAACTCTGAGAGTTACCTGTTAGATTTATGTATGTGTGTGTGTTTTTGAGACAGAGTCTTACTCTGTTGCCCAGGCTAGAGTATAGTGACGTCATCATAGCTCACTGCAGCCTCAAACTCCTGTGTTTCAGTGATCTTCCTGCCTTGAACTCCCAAAGTTCTAGGATTACAGGCATGAGCCATCACATGTGGCCAGATTTATTATTCTTATTATCATTTGATCAGTGTGTAGAGTTGCCGTAGAAGACATTCAATTAAAATTAATTAATCTGAAGTTAGATTATAAAGGCTCTTGAATTTGAATTTTAGGCAGGCATCCCTGCTGAAGGTTTTTGCGCAAGAAAGTGAAATGGTCAAAGGTATGGTCTATAAATATAAATCTAATGTCTCTTGAAGATATATTGTCAACGAAGCTATGTTAGGAGGCTCTACTATTATATAAGTATGAAATATGAGCTAAATGAGAGTACGATAGGTGAGAAATATAAGAAAAAAGAAAAACCTAACATTTCTTCTTGAGTAATTGATAGAGTGATGATACTATTAAAAATGAGAAAGGAGAAGTAGGAGAAGAAAAGAATTCAAGTTTAAGAAAAACAGTTTTTTGAGGTGTTCACAAAAGGAAGTTACTAAATTCATATCTCAGATTTCTAATGGAACCTCATCAGAGTTGACATATTGAAATGTTTATAAATGTTTACTTACATTCTGCTGGATACAGCTCTGATGTAGTCTATAATTATTTTAGCGCTCAGTATAACTACTGTTTCTTCCTTTAGTATGTATTAACTGGCTCTTTTTTTGTTAAAATGAGAACAAAAAAGCTTCACAGTTTGGTTACAGCTGTGAATTGTAGCCCTTCTTTTGAACTCTATATTTCTGAACTATTTATGGAGCTGAATACAGAAGAAAACCAAATATGGAGATAATTATTGATATATAGTTATATATATAAGAATCCACTTCATTTCTTGGTGTAGATGACTTTGGTTTAGATCCAGAGATACAGTGCATGTTTTTCATGAAATACAATTTGTCTTACAGGAAGCAGAATCTGGTAACATAAGTCAGAAGTCTGATGAAGAAGATTTTGTAAAACTTGAAGATTTACCTCTTAAACTGACAATATATTCAGAGGTATTTGGCTCTCTGTAATTAAACTTGTCTTTATATAACACATATCGTTAAAGTGAAAAATGATTTGTATTTTAAATTTTCATCCCAAAGGCAGATCTAAGGAAGAAAATGGTAGAGGAAGAACAGAAAAACCATTTATCTGGTGAAATATGTGAAATGCAAACTGAAGAATTAGCTGGAAATTCTCAGACACTAAAAGAACCTGGTAAGAATAATCAGTTTTAACTTTATATTGAAAAAGTTTTGAATATTAATTCTATTTGTTTTGTTTTTTTAATGTGCCTCTAGGACATGGGAAATTTTAAACAAATATTGGGAAGAAAAGCATAATTCTGTAAAAATTTTAGTTCAGCTGTATAATTTATAAAACAGCATTGTCAGATAATTTTTTTCTATTTTTAAACTCTTCAACTTTAGCAGAGTAATATATGCATGCACATTATTTAAAAAGAAAGGAACAATTAATGATAATAGCAAAAACCTTTTTGAAATGATTGATTTTTTAGTTCTTTCAGAGAAGACTAAATATTTTATGATTTTTCTTAATGTTTTGAATTCAGATAATAATGTCTAATAATGTCTCTTACCTCTCTTGTGACAAGTATATATTTAGTCCTACCTCTTCTCCTCCTTTCAGTATTTGTATTATTTTCAGTTTTTCTCTTTTTTACCTTTGTTTTAAATTTATAGATTTTTCTAGTTTCATCAACTTTGGTCATTACCCCTCTATTTCTCCTCCCTCCTTCCTTCCACCTTCTCTGTTCACTTGTACCTATATTCTTACATTATTATGGTTATTAAAGTAATACTTGTAAAGTAACACTTATATTTAGTTTTTGCAACTATAATAAACATTTTGTACTTTTTATGAGGATGATTCTATGTAAATATCATTCATTGTACAGCCAAGTAGTAGTCCTACATTTTTTTCTTTTCAAGTGTGATAGCTCAACCCCTGGACAGCTCTGAGAATGTTTCTTGTATCAAGGTCAAACGATTTTCTTTTTATTATTTTCCATCAATTCATCAATTGATTAAAAGCATATGATATTTTCTTGCTTTGTTTTTTTTGGAAATAGGATGAGGAGAAGGATAGACCATTCAGATATCAAACCTTCAGTTAATTCCCAGTTTTCAGCCCAGTTCTGCCTGTTAGAATATGGTGCCCATCTTAATGCAGCCACATATAGTGCTTCTAGGCTGCAGCTTCCTCTGCTTTCTTTCAGCATGCCCCCATCTGCTTTGAGCATTCTGGTAATGTGTTGATATCATCTGTTTTCTGTTTCTTCAGAACTACTACTACTCTTTTGTTGATCTAGATTTATTCCTTTTTAGAGTTCTTTTTTTTTTTTCTAGTGGAGTTTTTTACAGGGACAGGAAATATTTGCTCAGTCTGCTGTCTTGAAATAGAAACTCTCACCTGTTCTTTTTTACTATGTGCTATCAGGGAATTGTTTTAGCAAGCTAAGTTAAGATTTTCTATAAAATAACCTTAGATTAAAAGTAAAAGCCTTACTGGAAGAGAACAATGTTAAATTAATTTCTAGTAATTCAATAATAATTAATAAAGCATTAATTATTATTCTGTTTTTCAGAAACAGTGGGACCCCAAACTATATGAGATATCTTCAGAGGCTCATCTAACTCTTTCTTTACATAGTCAATGCATATTTGAAAATGATACTAAATAAACATCTGTTTTGATCTGTATAAAAATGTAAATTAGTTTGACACTGCATTTTTGATAGGTGTGCTAATTTCTGCCCATGGTAGTTTAAAACATAAGCAACTGAATTCTGGACAGATTTAAGCCTTGATACACTGTGTAATTTTTATTTTTTCTTTTTGGTCTTGATTCTTTTTTCCCATTGTGATGTTTGATAAAGTTATATTTAAAATGTAGTTTTAAATAAAGTTTGGACTTATCTATAAAGTATCTTTTTTGGAAATTATGTTGAATTCTATATAGCAAGTCAGTGTTCTATATGTAGTTTTAGGCTATTCAGAGAAGAGCAATGGTTAAGAGTTAGAGAACTATATTATTTATTATAAAGCCCCCAGCCATTAGTTGAGTCTTCCAAATAATACCAGTGTTGCTGCTATGGGATCTAAAATTCTTTTAGAAACCTGCAGATCCTATTACTATGAATAGGGCAGGTTATAAACATGTCTGGGATACCTAGGAAGTTCTTGTAGATACTTATTAATCCATTCAAATTTGGTAATAAGTTTAGAATGTATGTCCTTAGTACCTAGAACTTACATCATTATGTATTAGATAAGTATTTTCCAGAATTCCAAATACTATATATATATTGCCTCAGTCTAAAAATTTTAAAAAATCTTTATATAATTAGGGAATATTTCTGCACAGACAAGTAATATGTGATTAATTTTAAATGAAAAACTAGACTCTTTCAAGGAGGGATAAATACAACTAAGTTTATGTAACAAAACAGTAAGACTCTGTAGTCCTTCAGGCAAACTTGCCTTTTCAGATGGTAATTTAAGACCCAAAGCATAGTAGTTGCTTTTGTGTGGAGGAGGGGAAAAGCAGGTGCACAGGTAAAAGTATTAAATTTATGTGACTTCTTCATCACTAAGTAAATCAACTTTTAAAAGATGATTTACCTTTTTATCCCAAATTTTCTGTATTCTCAATAAGGCTTCAAATAGCCAGTCAACAATGATTAAGTCAACCATAATGATTCTTCCTTGAATAAAATATGAAGAATTAGTGCTAAGTAGTTTTAAATTTGTTAACAATTGACTGAAATACTCCATAAAAAGAGAACTTGGTGGATATTCCTTTAAATTCTTACCTGCCTAATACCTCAATGTAAAACTATAATGTCAAATCAAGGAGTATTAAATGAGGATTTCCCCATGTGTTGCTACTTAATTTAAATTGTGTATGACATATGTCTCCAACTTTAATTAAACCTATTCAGAAAACTACCAATTCAGAATCAGAAATTCCTGTCTGGTTGGCCTAACTTCAGGGAAGTTGGAACAGTAAGTTACATTATGTGAATACTCAAATTCTATATTTTCTAGACATTAAGCAGGAAGGGGGAAAAACTTCATTTTGGTATACTCAGGCCAAGCCTTACATATTGCGGCTTGTGTGCGCGCTCTTTCTCTCTCTCTTTCTGCATGCATAGTAAAGATAGATACAGTGGAAGAATTGTATTTATATCTTAATTATTAACATAATATCTATGAACATTATTAAAATTGCTTATTTGTGTTATAGCTGCTGTTATTTAGTCTATTATTTTTCTATTTTAGTAGATAATTTAGTTTTAAAATACCTAGGGCTTGACAGCAGATAATTTAATATTTTTTTCCATAGTAACTATTGCTAAAAGGTTAGGCATTAAATATTCTTGTTTGTCTTAATTTTTAAGATAAAATTTTGATTAGAGACAGAGAAATGGTTAAATGTGTGAGAGAGAACCCTATGCAGGTTGAGATAATGCCTAAAATAATAAGCTAGCCAGACTGTGGAGGTACTCTTTGTATTTTGTAAACATTCACTTTGGGTAAATGCTTTTTCACTATTAATAAATGTATATCCTATCTACAACTCTGAATCGTATTTTCATTTAAATTAACATATTAATTTATGCTTTAGAATTTGTTCCAGAATCATGGCTTTGACAGTTTTAAATGTAAGAAAATCAGGACATGAAAAATGACATATTGATTAGCCAGAAAGATTGATTCAACTTGAGACCATTTTTCTTACAGTGAAACATATACTCTATTATTTCTTATTTATATTTATTTTATATACTGTTCTAAGAATGTAAATGTTGGATATGGTGTGATAAAATTCGGTGTGGCCACAGGAGGAAAAGAGAATTAGACTTGTAAGGAAGAAGTTTATTACACTCACAGGTTCTAGAGAGGAGATCACCATGTGCCCATAGGGGAAAGTAAAGCACCAAATTTTGGTTAGGTGGCAGAAAACAAGAGCAGTAGGAAAGCCTAGTTAGAGCCTTTATTGAAGTTTCCTGAGGAAAGGCAAGGCAAGGCAAACAGTTTAAGATTGGCTAGTTTGAATAATTCGGTGGGCTTTCGGCTAAAGGGATGGTCTCTGATTGCCTGGTACCTGTCCCTGGGATGATTTAGGGCAGGAGGAATACAGGCTTTGTGTGTGAGGAGAGATAGATAAGGTGGTGTGGTTGAGGCTATAGACCTGGGATTGAGTAGTTTGTATATGAAGGAAATGCTCTTTGCCAATCCCTTTACTATCTCTCGAAAGGGCTAGCCCTGTGAGCAGTGGTTCCTCACTAACCAGCAAGCTTTTTAAGATGTCAAAACATCATAAAATACAGAAAATAAAAAGCATGATTAATACATGTACTATATGGAGAATAGTCTTACATTTACTCAGAAGTACAGACTTGTTTCTTGTCCATTTTTCTTTAAAATAAGCAGCTCATTTGTCAAAAGGATATTGACTCTGGATTTTACTTATTTCACTATACAAATGTAGATATCTAGTTGCCTTGACTGAAAGAGCCAGCATTTCTTGTTCTTGTACAATTCTAATTTGTTACTGTGATATTCCCTGATTTTACATGTATGATTTCTTCCTCAGACTCACTGGTGTTACTAATTGGCTCATTTTCTGAAAATTAAGGAACAGAAGGAAACTCTGCCTACAAATGACTTTGATGCATGTGTACACACACACACGTACACACATGTTGAGTATCCCTAATCTGAAATGCTCTAAAAATCAAAAAGTTTTTGAGTTCCAACATGATGTTCAAAAGAAATAATTGTTGGAGCATTTTGGATTTTCACATTAGGGATGCTCAACCAACCAGTAAGTACAATGAAAATACTCAAAAATTTGAAAACATTCAAAATCAAACGCTTCTGGTTCCAAGCATTTGGAATAAGGGATAGTCAATTTGTGTGTGTGTGTGTGTGTGTGTGTGTGTGTGTGTTTGTGTGTGTGTGTGTGTGTGTGTGTGTATTTCTAATTATCTTACCAGTTCATTTCATTTTCACAGACTTAGAAACTAATGTAACAAAAGAAATTTGGGGCCAACAATTTAGAGAGCTATTGATTTGGTTATTTGAAAAATTAATCACAGGATAAAGTTTCCATACAACAGAATTCTATTATGTCTCTTTTACATACTAAATGCATTTCTTGCATTGAGGCTTTTCCTAAGTGTAATTACCTGTCCCTTATATACATGTGTAACAAGTCACATGTGATTAATTTGAAAATAAATCATATATTTGTAAATATTAAATTATTTTGCTAGAAATCCTCACCTTTAATACACTGTGTCTCCAGAGTATAGCTACCTGCTTAAGGCTTTTCTGTTGATCAGGTAACATCAAAAGGCTTTGAAAGATATAAAGTGCTATATCAATTTATAATGGTAGTATTCTATATTTGTGTCAAACCTCACTTTAGCGAGACTGTGAACACATAGAGTTTTCCCATAACCATCACTATTTACAAAAATTTCACTCACCTGTGTGACCATCACCTGTTGTCTCAGTTATATTCAGAATTTTCCTAGACTAGAAATAGGCATGGATTATTCTATCAAATGAAATAGTGTTCATAAAAATGTTTGACTGTAAGTGCTGTACAAATTTAAGGTGTATATCCATGTCAGAGGAAAAGGCACAGGAAAAGAAGAGCCAAATTTTTTCTCAAATTTAGACAATTCAGGTTAATATTTCTTACCCAAAATGCTTGGGACCAGAAATATTTCGGATTGTGGAGTATTTGCATTACACCAGTTGAGCATACAGATTCAGAATCTGAAATGCTCCAATGAGCATTTACTTTGAGCATCATGTGAGCACTCAACAAGTTTCACATTTTGGAGCATTTCAGATTTTTGAATTTAAGATGCTCAACCTGTAGTGATGTTTTGCTTACTTTTCAATGTTTTAACAACATATTTTAAATCAATTTCCAAGGCAGAATTTAAACACCGATTATCTACCAGAACCCACAGTTGCTTCCATGTGTTCTTTGTGAACATGTCCTGGCTAAATAGTCTTTGTGGATTTTCCTTTTCTTAGCTAACGAGGAAGAAGCTAAAGAGTCTTTATTCTAGTGGATCTGAGATGTGTAGCTTTCCCACAGTGTCAGTTTAATTATCTCCCCATCTTTCCATTCTCTCACCCTTACTACCCCATCTCCCCAAAATGTTTGACACAGGTATTAACACTATATACTTTTGTCTGTCTCCCACCCCCTCAATTAGAATATAAGTTCTATAAGGACAGGATTTTTTTTCTCTCTTTTTCCACTGCAATATCTCTAGTCTTCAGAGCAGTTCCTAGAATGTAGAAGGTATTCAATATCTACTAAATAATGAGTAAATTTTCCAGGTATTCCAAGGAGAGGTTCAAGGTCTTGAATATGCTGAAATACTGAGAAGGATTGGACATCTTATTTAGCTATGGCAAATGGAATCTTGTCCACTTCAACAGTGTAAGGTAAGGATTAGGGTTTGCAAGGAGTATGAAAAGATAGCTGAAGCTTTACACAGCCAGCATCCAAAAATCTCTTTAGTTCATATCTCATCACATTAGCTGGTATTTTCATGAGTGTAGTAAATACATGGAGATTTTTAAAATCAATACAATTACAGAGTTAAAAAATTGTAAGATACTCAACAAAATGATAACTTACTATAAAATCATGGTTAAATATTTAACAGTCAGCTCATAAAGGAAAGTTTTCAGAGGGTGCTAGTTAGGAATAACTGGTAACAAATTTGTGAAAAAAAAATCCACAAGTCATTACAATATTGTAATTTCTTTCCCATCCTAGTTTTTATTCCTGTTAAAGATACTAGCAAGGAACGTTTTAATTTATTTCAGCCTAATTTTCTTCATTCACCTACCTGCTGATAGTGCTCATGGTGATAGGAACAAGCAGTCAAGAGTAGCTGCTACCACATTTTAAAACCTGTGAATGATTCACAGAATCTGTGATCAGCCACTTTTTGGTGGATTGTGAGCTAAGCCATATGGACACAAACCACTCTGTATCCAAATGTTTAAGGAATTTGCCTTAGCACCTGAGTCAACCCTGTAGTTATTAATTAGTGTTGCCCCAGCCTTACTATCAGTTACCACTCACACACCCCCTCATCTCAACCCCAAGGTACACAGGAAAAGTGGAAACCACGGATATACCACCTTTATTCACCTGCAGCCAAAGAACACATTTATACTCTTCTCAGTGTTTTCATAGGTATCTTGAATTGAGCCTTTGTTACTAACCCAGTGCTGGCTCTTCTGAGGAAAACTAATAGGCTTTACTAAGAGTGAAAAATTGATTATAACAGTCTCTGTAAACAGAGACAAGAGAATTATGTCCTTTTCCAAATAGCTGCAAAGTCTAGTTTCAAACTCTTGTATCAACCAACTTTTAACAGCTCTTGCCCGAGGCAATGATTTAATTAATCCTCTTTGATGATAGCAACTTCCTTCTGTGACACAATAGTCACAAGAGAGGGAGTGGGTATAATGTGACCAGGAGTGGAAAAGGAGGAAAAGAGTGGACAGGAGTATTCTTCGTTTCATTTCTTAAGATCCATGAAGATGGATCCCACCCAGCAATTGTAAGTTAATAATTACAAATAAAAATGTAATTAAACTAAAATACTGAAACTTGATTTTCTGTACTAAGACAATAAATTTTTAAGCCTCTACTGATAATGACAGAGCCAATTACACTGGCTGTTAGATTTACATAACTATTTCTCAGTAACTAAGGTAAAAAGTCTCACTTATTCCATTTGGTAATACAGTCCATTGTGTCAGAGTATATGAAAAACAGAAACTGGTATTGGCATCAAGTTATTTCTCATTGGTTATTGCGCCTTGACGTAGTGAAATTTCATTCACCCCCTCACACCTTGGGCATGTTGACTTATTAGGACTGCTGTCTCTTATCATAATATTTTGAAGTAATGCTATCAACCCAGTCTCATTATTTGTTACCTATTAATATGGGAAGGGCTGAAATTGTGTAGCTCATGGACTATCATACTTACATTTTCCTGAGATTCAAATAGGGTTGGCATTGAACTCAGGTACTACATGTTTTCAAAATTAAACATTTACTGTCAATCTCTGTGTACAAATGGCATATATATACAAATTCTATATATGTATATAAAATAAACACGGTATTATATATGTTATGTATGTATAAAAACAATGTCACTTGCAGCTGACAGGCAGTTTTGCAGACATCTTAGCTAGTTGCCCATGACTGCTCAATGTGCCTTCTGCCAATGAGCATCATCATTTTTATATACTTGGTATGAAAATTTGACTGGATTCACCCATGTTATGTGTATGAGTAACACACACTACAATGGTCCTGATGTGTCCAACCACACCTGGGTGTTGGTCACTACTGAGTTCCCTGCTAACTTGAAATAAAGTTTAAATGTAGATTTATAAAGCAAGAGGAACCCTTAGAGAAAATTGGGACTAAACCCTCATTTTACAAAGGCAGATATGAAGGCACAAGGAAGTTAAGCAACTTGTTCCCAGTCAGCCTAGCTGGTGATGGAGGGATCAGAGCTCTGACACTTTCCAACCTGTTTGCATGCCATGGCACATGTAGGCAAGGACGGTATTTGTAAGGGATGCTGAAGAAAACTGGACTGAATGTGAGGATTTGGTAAAAATTAATTACATTTTCTTTATATTAAATAATTATATGAAATGTATAAATTATGAACAAAAGACAGTATCAAGGAAGATATTACACACCAAATATTTTAAACTACAGACTTCTTAACATCTTTTATAGCATATTTTCTATTTGAAATTGCTCTCCACAATTTTTTTTTTTTAGTGTATTATGGGGATACAAGTGTTAAGGTTACTTATACTGCCCATGCCCCTCTCACCCCTCACCCAATTCTTTTTTTTTTATTTCGGCATATTATGGGGGTACAGATTTTAAGGTTTCAATAAATGCCCTTTCCCCCCCTCCCCCCACAAGTCCGAGTTTCCAGCATGACCATCCCCCAGATGGTGCACATCTCACTCATTATGTATATATATGCCCGCCCCCCTCCCCCCTGCCCAATACCCTATTACTGTAGTACCTATGTGTCCACTTAGGTGCTACTCAGTTAATACCAGTTTGCTGGTGAATATATGTGGCCTCGCACAATTCTTGATCAAGACTTTATAAATCACTTTAAATTTTTGAAAATCATTAAAGATCAATTTTATGTTTCATTGGATGATAAATTCAAAGAAATATATTGACAACCATTCAAGAATTTAGATGTTGAAATTATATTTGAAGATTAATAGCCTTTTCTTTCATTGAAAAATGTAATACTAAAATATCATAGGAAAAGTGTTTTGATTTCAGTTAAAATTTACATATTATTTTCAAAATAATGATGCCGTATTTTGCAGAACGCACATACATTGTTAGGACAGTCATGGACAACTAGCTTGGATGCCTCCTAATTGGCTTGTCAGATACAAATGGACAGAGGAGTCAGATGTATATGAAGGTTCTGGCAGCTACCTGGAGCTGAATTCACCAGGAGCCCACACTGCCCGCATGCCTCTCACTCACCTCTGCAATGGGTCTGTGTGCTGGGCTCTGTAGTACCTAGAACGTATACTTCAACTATGCCACAGGTCCCTTGTCCACCCAGACAGAGATGAGATCTGCAGAAGGCCACCAGGTGCTAGGGCACCTGCTTGATCTTGCTCAACTTTCCCAAGGGTGCAGCAAGTTCTAGGTGTTACTGCTACCAGTGAGACAGGTTTGGGTCCTGGTGGAAAAGAATTGAGAGGGCCCACCAATGAGAACTGAGTGGCTAGATATTGTTATGTGGATTTTGTATTTGAGAGAGGCAAAATCTACTTGGCTCAGGTCCCTTCTGGTCTGCAGGGCCAGTGATTTGTACCAACTTGCTCCATGTCTTGTGTGCTCCACCTCCTTCCCCAGCCTGGTAAGACCACAGGGAGATGCAGTCTATCCTGCTCTGCTCAGGCCTCTCCTCTAAGCAGCCCCAGAGGCAGCTAGTGGAAGGCAGCTGGCCTGGGGGCTGGGAGCTTGCATGCCTAGGACTTGCCTAGGTGCCCCAAGGTTGAGAGATCAGTATCTGAAGGCATACTTACAACTCAAGGGCAGTACACCTTCATGAACCATGAAGGGTGATTTTTACCCTGCCTGGAAGCTGATGAGCTAGCCTGCCACAGCTTCATGGACCCTCACAAGCTCCTGGGCCAGAGATGAAGGACTCCAGGCACATTAGGCAGCATGAGCTTCAGGTTTGCATCAGTTCCACTTGCTCCCCAAGTTCCCGTTCTGTGAGTGTGACTTTAAGCAAGTAACCTTACCTTCATCCTCGGCAAGTGGGATTACAAGTATAAATGTTCACAACTATTAAGTGTTGTGCTTTCAAAAGTAAAATAGCACTTGCTACTATCCAGGGGGAACCATGGTCAATGTTTTGGTTAACATTCTCCGAGTCATCTTTTTATAATCTAGATGTATATTTGGTTATACATAAATATATGTATAAAATGTTAAGTAAATAGGCTTATACTGTATATCCTATTTTATAAAATGCTTTACTATCTAAAATACTACTTAAAATTTTAATACCTATTATTTTCTCCAAATTCTTTGATTCACTCCTGAGGAATCAGTCTGAAACAATTAGCACCTCACCGCTTTATTATCATGCATATTAAAGGTTGCCTACATTTTAAAAAATAAATCAAGTTTACCTCACTTCATTTTTATAAGAGGTATAAAATCTGAAGTTTTTTTTTCATTAATTGAACCCTGTTTTAACACAAATCCTCTTGTAATTCCTCTTGCTTCACTAAAATAACATTGGAATCACTATAGTTTGTGGAAGTGCCTCCTATCTGGGGGAAAAGCTGCCTCTGGACACCTGCAAACTGGGTTAAGAGGTGATAACTATTAATTATGTAAGATTATGACCATTTAGTCATATGTTTAATAGTAACTCACTTACATAACCCTTGCTATTGAATTCAGATACCGTGTTCAGCTTGTATTTCTCGATAACCCCCACCCTCAAACCAACATATATGTACACACCCAATCAGCATGCATGACTGCTGACTGACACTAATTCCATTGACTATTTATTGAGTGTCATGATTACAACTGAGATTACACAAAATGAAGTGGACACAGTCTTGCACAAATGGCATACATTTCAGTTAATTGTGAAAGTTAGGTTAATAAGTTCTATTGGCACTTTTCATATGTAGATTTGATTTCTGAAAAACATTTTTGATAATTATACTAAAAGTTTAAAAAAATACATGTTAATCAGAAGTATAAAATAAAAATCTATATGAATGATACGTAAGAGAAGTTAAAATAAATGAGTTTACTTTCTATTTTGCATAAGTCTTTGACATGTTTATTTAGTAACTCACAGAACCTGGGAATTCAGTTTTTGAAGTTAGCAACTTCCTGGGGTTACTGGGAGGTAGAGAAATTATGAAAAAAGGAATACTTCATTTCTTTGTATAAAAGACTACCTTACATACTGCTCATTTCATGAACCCCAAAAAGTACTATTTATAGAGTCTAAGGACCATTTATTGCCCATTGAAAGAAATACACAGTTGAATGTCTGTCTCATCCCTCTGATCACATGTAGTAAAATTATATCGTCATTAACAGCCAAGATAAAAATGGTATATTAATTTTAGTAGTAGTTAGAACCAGAGGAAAAGATTGCTATATAGAAAAACATAAAAATATGTAGATAAAAATGAAAAACTGAATAGTGTGGACTATTTGCTTTTACTGTATTCACACTGTCATACTGGATTAAACACAAAGAATCTTGATTTATTACATGGAGGTGGATCCCACATGGTTTAATTGCCATCCCCGTCCCTAAATGTCAAAGTGAAATGAAACTCAGAAAATTCTGGATGATTGTTTTACTTCACTTTAAGAAGTTATCTGTAAATAAGAAAAATCAACTGTTAGGGCAAAAATAGTCTGTAAACTGTGAATGTACGGAGGACAAGCTCAAGACACAGAGAACCTGCCCTGAGTCTGAGTCTTTGGAAGATGCGACAGCTGCACTGGTCAGCCACATCTGCGGTGGTGTCTTCATGTCTCAGAGGGTGCACTCTGTAGGCCAGGTGTGTGCTCACCAACCTATGCAAGGGTCTGGGCAGTCCCGCAGGTAAGTTTCATAGTGACCTTTGGTAGCATCTATCAAGGTTGTGAATACAGTCAGCTGAAAGAAAATTATTTTTACTTTAAGGATGTTTTCAATTCCAAGATATTCTGACTTACAGAATTCACTTTATTAAATTAACTACTTGATATTAAACAATTATATATGTAATGTATTATATAGTTAATATATTTGTATTAATGTATATTATATTAATTAAATAATTATATATTATTATTCATTAAAGCAACCAACTTCAATAGAACCATCGTTCCAGGTCATGAATATAAATAATCTCAGGAGAGAATCCCAGTTCTTCTCACGCCTGTAATCCTAGCACTCTGGGAGGCAGGTGGATCATTTGAGCTCAGGAGTTCGAAACCAGCCTAAGCAAGAGCAAGACCCCGTCTCTACCAAAAATAGAAAAAATTAGCAGGGCATGGTGGCGCATGCCTGTAGTCCCAGCTACTCGGGAGGCTAAGGCAGGAGGAACGCTTGAGCCCAGGAGTTTGAGGTTGCTGTGAGCTAGGCTGATGCCACAGCACTCTAACCCAGGCAACAGAGTGAGACTGTGTCTCAAAAAAGAAAAAAAAAAAGAATCTCAGTTGTTCACAGGAGGTTATTCCTGGGCAGTACACTGCTGCACCACCAATGCTTTAAGACTAATTTAACCTTCCTCAAAGTATAATTGACAGTCATGCAAAACCTAATGGTATATTAATACCATGGAGCATAAACAGTTTAGCTTTGGTTATCCTTACCCTTAAAACATTTCTAATACAGTGAGGAAAACTCTATGTAGGCACAGAGATTACAAAGCACACAAACAAACTCACATGGAGGTCACACAGACTGTGAGTCACCAGACTGTGAGCTCACACAGACCATGTGGGCAGAGTGAGAGGGAGTGCAGGGTCCACAAGCTGAAGGAAGGCTTTCAGCGAAAGCCAGGATGATCTGAATGGTAAAGGACAGTAGGATTTTTTTCTCGTGGGGGCAGTAGAGGCATGTTTATTTGAGGGAGAGTTAGGGAAAAAGGACCAAGAAGAGAAGGAACAAGTGGGATAATCAGGGAAGCACATCCTGAACATTTGAGGCATGACTATTAGCAAATGGGATGATTAGAAAACGTTTTTCATTTTTTAATCTATCGTATGAAGAAAAAAAAGATAAAAGGATATAATAAAGTTTAACGGAAACCCTAATCCAACAAGACACAGAGCTTTGTCTGAAAATGGATTTCAAACTTCTGTGAACTTTTAGGTGTTAGTTGTGATGTACAGCATGAGGTCTCTGACAGATGGAAGTCAAGAATAAAATGCTAGGCTTAATTCAAGTGCCATGTAAGTAAAGCTGTAAACAATACTCAGAACAATTTGGACATCAAGCCACGATGACCAACTTCTTTGCTGCATTGCAAAAGTTACAATTTTAGCCACATAAAAACACTTTTTAAAAATCAGCCTTGGTTGTAGCCACACAAAAATCAGCCTTATGTTTTAAAAAAAACAAATTCTGTGCTCAAACTGATATAAGATAACAGGAAAAGATCAATCATAGGACCAAATTCTTTCTCTAAAAGAAAAAAATATATATACATATATTTTAAAATACCTTGTTGAGGACAGGTTTTGTTGACAGGACATCATATAGGGTTGCAAATGAGATATTCTAAAACACAAAATAGTTTTGTTCAGTAAATTAAATACAGAAGTCAGCAGCCTTATCCACACAAGTGGGTCATTATAAAGCAAGACATTCTTCGATCTTCCTCCCCCCAATCCCCCTAAAAGAATTTCCCTTGGGGTCATTGTTAGAAACAGGTAACAGTTTTACTGTATTACTTTTGTTTCTTTCTCCCCTTTCTAAATTCTTGCCTGTTTGTTATTCAACTTCACAGAGCAGTATCCAGCATTAAAATAAGAAAGGGAAAGTACAGCAAAATTTTGCTCTTTTTAAGTTAAAAAAAACAAAAACTCACTGGATATTGTCTAGAGATACTGAATAAATGTGAGGTTTAAAAATTCTCTGAAGGCCAAAGAAAAATGCCAGAACTGAGATCATCTTTAATGGTGACAGTTTCTTTCTATACATATTGTATTGTAAACGCACCTCCTGGGTTATGCGGTTTAGGCATGTCTTTGCAGCTGTCCTTCGATCATCAAGGAAGAAGGGGTTTTTCCAACGATCATAGTTTGTTTCTAGCACATACCATCGACCCTGCTTAGGATCAAGTCTGGATACAAAAAGAGAGATACCCTCTTAGGCTACATGCCTTAAACTTGTGCGTATGTCAGTTTATGCTTTAGTTTCTACTTATTTCTATAAATGTACTTACTCATATACATCCAAAGATTGTTTTCTGTCTCGTGTGATCACACAACCTTCCCCAGACTGGTTGCCTCCCAGGATAAAGTACGCTGGGGCAAGTACCTTGGTCTTGGTCAATATATTCTTGGCTTCTTCATAACTACATAGAAACATTTAAAAAATGTTTTAGTTGACTTGGAAATGTTTGACTCTGTGGAAACTAAAGGAAACCAAGTATCTAAGGAATATGTTTTTTAAAAAAGGATGGTAAGCAATGGCTCTAGGAGGAAAAATCCCTTACTCCTGTGAGGTAAAATAACTGAGATGGGAAGAGGGAGTTTCAGAAGGTCCCTCAAATCTGAAGAAGAAACAAAATGGCCTCAACACATCATTGTCCACCCTTATTGTCCATGCCTTTCACTAAACAATAAAGGGAAATAATATTAATTGCACAATATAGGACTTAGTAAACCTTGAAAATTGGGGCTATTAAAAATTGAAATGGATTATTAAAGAAGACTGCTAAATCTTATTCCCTGGAAGGTACAAAAATAGGATTGATACCCCTTTATTCTAAGTTATTTGGATTCAGTGTAGGCTGAAGAAAAGGCAGTTTTGCTATTGTAAGATTTCTTCTGTACCACAGCAGAATAATATAACTTATAGATTAATATGTATTACCACGTAGATGAAGATTTTATTATACAATTTTTCTCTTGTGTATGGGTGATTATTTTTGTCCACCAAAAACATTCACAGGTGCCCTTCATAGTGTCAATATCCCTAGTACTTTTTGATAATTCATGTCCTCACTATAAAAATAGGCCGATGGCTCACGCCTGTAATCCCAGCACTCTGGGAGGCCGAGGTGGGCGGATTGCTCGAGGTCAGGAGTTCGAAACCAACCTGAGCAAGAGCGAGACCCCGTCTCTACTATAAATAGAAAGAAATTAATTGGGCAACTAATATATATAGAAAAAACTAGCCGGGCATGGTGGTGCATGCCTGTAGTCCCAGCTACTTGGGAGGCTGAGGCAGCAGGATTGCTTGAGCTCAGGAGTGTGAGGTTGCTGTGAGCTAGGCTGATGCCACGGCACTCACTCTAGCCTGGGCAACAAAGCGAGACTCTGTCTCAAAAAAAAAAAAAAAAAAAAACACAACACACCATAGAAAACATGAATAATTCCACATGAATGTCAAGGTTCACCTAAGACATTCTGCATAGCTCCTCAATGGATGTTAAGCTGAAGCTTGGGAAATATTTTTATATTTTAGTATCAATAATTTACAACAAATATTTGAAAATAAAGCAAGCAACCACTTTACCTAGTACTATTTTCCAGAACTGATCTAGTGATAAACCCTATCCACATGGCATCTTTCTTTCCCATAATCCATTCTAGGACACCTGGAAGAGATCAAACACAGTGTCAGGATCTGGCAAAGGTTAGACTACTTAACCAGAAGGCACAGTCCAGTCCTCCTAGTAAAACAGTTGTGAAACCCCATTTCACTTGAGAACACGCTACTCACCCAGATAACCACCATTTATACTGAAGCGTTCATTTAGTGTCAGGCTAAACAGTCCCTGAGAAAAAGACAAAGCAATAAAGTCAGAAACTCCAACCTTCCTCTTTAAGATCCTATCACTGTACTCTATGGTGGTATATAAAGGGCTGGGTAATGAGAAAGGCAAAGAAAAATCAAAACCATGTATTAACAAGGCTTTAAAAAAAGTTTAAAGCATTTGCACGTCTAGTGTGTGAGATAAGTAGGTGGGATATTATTGGCTATACCTTTCGGACAGGAAACTACAGAGCAGAGAATTAACACCTGACTTGCCTAAGTGAGCAGCAGACCCAGACTTTGATCCCTCTGACACCTGGCCACATGCTCCTTATCCCAGAACAGGCTCAGAAACCTTCATTTCCTTTCTACTCTTCTCTACCATGCAATCTTAAACCTAGGAAAGGGACAAGAAGTACATAGGGATGAACTGCGGCTCTATATTCTTTTTAGGTTCTCATTTTCTTAGACTCCACCTTTTCTTTACATATACTAAAAGCATGACACAAAGCTACCTTTAAAATTACATGACAATAGAGTCCTTACTGGTTTGAATCCTGTTAACATGCCCACATAGCCAGCAAAGCTTGCAGCCTTGAAGACGGTTTTATTGTTTCTTTGGAAGTCCAAGTTCACTGTTAAAGGTTTTAGTTCCTCAGTTACAACCCAGGTATTATTATTTGTGTTCCACCTACAAAAGACAAATTTTGGTGACACTTAAGTACAATGATGATAATAATGATGAATACAGTGATGAAAGCCAGGCATGACACTATGTGTCTGATCTACCGAATCGCCATGATCCATCGTAATAACAACATTTACAATATAGGTGGTTTCATCCCCGATTTTCTAGATGATAAAACTGAGGCTCAGAGAAGTTAAGTAACTCTCCTAATGTCACACAGCCTATAAAAGTGAACCCCAGATTCAAATTTAGGTCTCTACAAAGTTCTTATTTTATCCAAAAGGTCAAGATGACAAATAAAATAGAATACAGACATGGCATGTGTGGCCTTCAACCACCCTCCAAATTTCTTTTCACTAGGTACAACTCACATAAAAGCCTTAAGTAACTAAGTAGAATCGTGCCCTTCTTGTCTTAACATTTAGGAATCCATTTATCTTCACTTATGGTCATATTTTGGGCATGGCTTGGGACTTTTCATCAATGTAATATAATCTACTCTTCTTATAGAATGATACATAATGTGTTCTTTACTTACCCAAGAAATACTCCAAAATCCATGTTTCTCCCATGCAATAGATGACCTATTTGAAAGTAAGCAGAAGAGACTCATAGTAGCAGTTAAGATAATACAACTAATTCTAAATCAAAGATGGACACTTAATTTTGGTTAATTTATAACTGTTTCATCTAACTAGGAATTAAGAAGCATCCTGATATCCTAATCCTTAATAAGATCAAACTGTTGTCACTGTCACATCTGTTGGACACCCCCACAAAATCTGAGAGCACAGGGTTCCAGGTAAGGTCAAAATATGGGAATAGGATCAATGGTCAATCTTTGGTCCATTATCACATGGTTCTATCAGACAAAGATATCTTAGCCTCAACTAATGTGACTTACCAAATGTTTCCCTTCAGGCACTGTCACATACAGCTGGACACCTCAAGGGTTAGGTGTAGGCAGACTAGTTCTACCCAGAGTACAGGTCACAAATCAGGGTGAGTCGAAGTAAGTCATCCTGTGCCTTGTACTCTGGGGACCAGCCAGCCAGGAAAAAAACATGGGAAAGGCAGGCTGTTATACACAGGGTCCCTTGGCTGGGAAAAGATAGGAGAATGTTTGTTCCGGGCCTCAAGAAAAGCAAATATGCCGTTACATATATGAAGATAACGTATGTGAGGATTTCTTGGCTTCTTGAGGATTCTTGGATTGTGACGATTTCTATCCAATCATACAGATAGATACAAGCATATTATAAGGAAGGTAAAAATGTTTCTAGGCCTGAAACACTTATTCTGGGTTTTTTTTTTTTTTTCCGCAAGCCTGAATTAAACTTTAATAGGTATTACAGTGGTCTTAAAATAAGGATAGTTTTCAATGTACTTACAAAAATTTACCGAGGTATATTAAGCTGTTTGTGACATACACAGAATTTACCTAGCAAGCCCGCATTTTAAAAGTTCTAACTCCATTTATTTTTTATTTTTATTTTTTTATTTTTATTTTTTGAGACAGAGTCTCGCTTTGTTGCCCAGGCTAGAGCGAGTGCCATGGCGTCAGCCTAGCTCACAGCAACCTCAAACTCCTGGCTCAAGCAATCCTCCTGCCTCAGCCTCCCGAGTAGCTGGGACTACAGGCATTCGCCACCATGCCCGGCTAATTTTTTGTATATATATTAGTTGGCCAATTAATTTCTTTCTATTTTATAGTAGAGACGGGGTCTCGCTCTTGCTCAGGCTGGTTTCGAACTCCTGACCTCGAGCAATCCGCCCGCCTCGGCCTCCCAGAGAGCTAGGATTACAGGCGTGAGCCACCGCGCCCGGCCTCTAACTCCATTTATTTAGATGATTTCTCTTTTACACGATGCTTTGCTCTGCCCACCCTCCCATGACACACATTTACCTTCTTTATCTTCTGTTATTATTGAAGTACACATGGTAAAAAATTCATAAAAAATATTGAATGAAATAATCTCGCCTATGAGAAAAGAAAGAAAAATTTTTGTTAATATACAGAACCATGACAGTGTAAGAAAAATTTGTTTTCAGAAGAAGTGTAATGATTTTCACTGTTCAAGCGTGTGCTCTGGTCAATCACGATGTGCCTGCATAGCTGGTGGGGTGGCCGTATCTTTCACCACCCTGTCCTCTCTCTAGACTCGAGATAAAACAAGTCATCATCAAAGAGGCAGCTACCAGGTGAGTTGAACATACAGGCAAGTTGGAATAGTTCCACAACATGATGTCTACATTTTTTATCAATATGCTTCCCTTTAAGTTTTCTTTGGGGAGCTCAAATATGATAATTTAATACATCTGGCTCTTGGTTGTAAGCTGAAAATGTATTTTACCCAAATCTTTAGAGCATGACTAATATTACTAAGGTGAGAAAGGTGATTTAAGAACTATTAATAAAATTAATGCAGAACTGCCAAGAAAATCCACTGTCGAACATTTTATATTTTGAATATTTTTCCAAAACTGTGTAATACCATATAGCATTTAATTCAAAAGTACACCGTATACTTTGTCTCATTTAATATTATAATAATATGTTAAGCTTATCATGTTTTTTTCACTCCCTCTACTCCAGTGTTTAGTTTATTTCCATTTAATTTCTATTTTGGTGAAATTTTATTAAAATTTATAATAATTTTTACTATTTACCATATAAATCATCTGTTAATCTTCTGAATCCATTCTCCTCTTGAGATATTTATATTTGGTATTACTTGCTAGTTATTTACATAATAAAGGAATTAGACTTGCTTCTCATAAAGGCTGCAAATATATATTTCCAGCACATCAACTATCTTTTAAAATCCTTTTTTTATAGAAGCAAAACAAACAAAAAAACTAGCCACTTTTGTTGATAAATACTACTGATTTTCAAAATTTTCAATCCTCTCTTGTAAAACTGATGATTAAGTACTGGCTACTTAAAATAATGACTCTGCTGCTTTGGTAGCTCAAAAATAAAACTTTTGGGGTGGTGGGGAAAATCTTTTTCATTAATATCATAAATTGGAAAGTGAAATTAAAAAAAATAACATTCCAAGAACATCCATACCTAAGGATAATTTTAATGAATGATATATAAGACCTTCTCCCTGAAAATAAAAAATACTACTCAAAGAAATCAACAACCTAAATAAATGTTGAGATTTATAGTATTCATTGATCAGAAAACTCAGTATTACAATCTCAAAGTATTAGCAAGGCTCTTTGGTCGAAGTGAACAGGCTGATTTTAAAATGCACATAGGAACACAAAGGGCCTAGAATAGCCAAGACAATTGTGAAGAAAAACAAAGTTAGAAGAATTATACTACCTAATTTTAAGACTATAAAAGCTTTATTATTGAGGTAGGATGGTACTGATATAAGACAAATAAGTAAGAAAACAGAAAGTCTCCAAACAGAACCATGTATATAGGTACCTGATTTACATCAGAGACACCACTTAATTTACCAAGGGAAGGATAGTCTTTTTTTTTTTTTTCTTTTTTTATTTATATTTTTCTTTTCTTAGTCAACTGATCTGGGACTTTACGGATAGTCTTTTAAATAAATTCCTCATATACTATATGAGGAAAAACCTGACCCCTAACTCATACCATATACAAAAATTAATTCAAGATAGATCATAGGAAATATAAAAATTAAACATAAAACATCTGGAAGAAAATATACAAGAGTATTTTCATGGCTTTGGGGTAGGCAAAGATTTCTTAAATGTACACCAAAAATACTGCTCGTAAAAAAGAAGACTGAGAAATTAGGCTTCATTAAAATTAAGAATTTTTATTCATCAAAAGATACCAGTAAGAGAATAAAAATGCAAGTCATAGACTGGGAGAAGACACTTGGAATACATATATGTGGCAAAGAACTTATATGCAGAATATATAAAGAATTCCTTCAAACTAATAGAAAATGGGCAAAAACCTTAATCAGCAATTTACCCTTCCCTGAAAGAAACCCCAAAAAAGAAAAGGTCAATAAACTGTTCAATTTCATTAGTCATAAAGGAAATATAAATTAAAACTAAAATGGGATACTATGACACTCAAAAAATGGCTCAAATACTATCCAGTGAGGATGTGTCAAATGGAGAAAACTAAAACTCTCATATTATGCTGATTGTCAGTTGATAGAATCACTTTGGAAAACCGTTTGGCAGAATCTACAAGGCTATACATACAGCCATCTTATAATCCAACAGTTCACTTCCTAGGTATACATGCAAGAGAAATGAGTGTATGTGCTCATCAAAAGACATGTACTAGAATGTTTATAACTGCTTTCTTCTTAATATCCACAATCTGAAAACAACCCAGATACCCTATTCATACAATAGCATACTACCTATAACGGTAAGTACAAGAAACCCCACCCAGAAGTTCGTATTCCAGTTCTATTTATAAAAAGTTCAGGAAGAGGCAAAACTAATCTACGGTAAAGTCAAAGTAGTGGTTACTTGAGCAGGCAGTATAGTCTGTGAAGGGGCATGAGGGAGCATTCTGGAGTGCTGGACTTTTCTATGTCTTGATCTGAGCTGTGGTTACGTGCCCATACGCATTTCTAAAACTTAAATGAGCTGCATACTTAAGATCAGTGTGCTTTACTGTATATATTTCACACCTCAATAGAAATATTTGAAAGTGTTTTCTTAAATTTTTTGAAATCTGCAAAGTGAACTTTACCTAAAGGTATATCAGTAACAGCTGCAATTCCCTTCATTTCTTCTTCAAAAGGGCCAGGAAAGTTGCCAAGCATACCAGGCTGAAAAACAAATAAATTAACAATCATTCTACCTAAAAGTAGGCTTTGAGATCTGGTTTTTGCCATATAATTTATTCCACATATTGCTATCACAATAGCTGATAACAGTTACTTTTCTTTTTTCTTTTGAGATGGGGTCTTGCTCTGTTGCCTAGGCTAGAGTGCACTGGTGTCATCATAGCTCACGGCAACCTCAAACTCCTGGACTCAAGTGATCCTCTTGCCTCAGCCTCCCAAGAGTTGGAACTATAGGTATAGGCACATGTCACCACACCTGGCTAATTTTTCTTTTTTTTTTTGAGGCAGAGTCTCAAACTCCTGGGCTCAAGAGATCCTCCTGCCTCAGCCTCCCAAGTAGCTAGGACTACAGGCATGTGCAACCATGCTCAGCTCATTTATGTGTGTGTGTGTGTGTGTGTGTGTGTATTTTAGTTGTCCAGCTAATTTCTTTCTATTTTTTTTTAGTACAGATGGGGTCTTGCTCTTGCTCAGGCTGGTCTCCATCTCCTAGCTCAAATGATCCTCCTGCCTCAGCCTCCCAGAGTGCTGGGATTATAGGCGTGAGCCACCACGCCTAGCTGGTGCTTCTTTTTTTTTTTTTTTGAAAGAAGGGGTCTCTCTATGTTGCTCAGGCTGGTTTCCAACTCCTGGCTTCAAGTGATCTTCCTGCCTCGTCTCCCAAAGTGCTGGGATTATAGGATTATTTTTACAACATATATTTCTAAAACATTTTCTATGTAATACTCACTATTGGGTCCCTATATAGAGACCTATGATTCTTAGATTGTTTTTTCCATCTTTTTATTTTCCCCATACTCCAAAGAGTATATAATAATTCCACCTGGATGACCTGACACGATCCACAACACAAGAACATCATCATAACAAGCACTCCTTATCTCCGCTCAAATTCACCCTGTAGCCACTGGCATATATCCTTATCACTGTTTCCTTCCCACACTCACAGCAACACAGCAGCAATAACACCTGCACTATTTTATTCCTTCACAAAACTGTTTGTCACAGTTAAAGGCTGATCTTGGGCTAAGATGCATTAATTGCATTCTGTTAGCAAACAATGGACATTGAGCAAATTCAGTGGTGGATATCATAATTTTATTCTCAATGACAACTACTTACTAACATCTAGATTACAATTTAAGTTCACAGTCTTTTGCTGAGATAATGTGCCTAAAATCTGCAAGTCCCACTTTTCACCAACTTGGTAATTATATGCAGTATGACTAAACTAAGCATATTATTTTTTCCCCTGGCAATTCGAAGCATTGCACAAGTGGAATGTTCCAGCCAACTTAACAAACAAGCATGACTTAATAAACACATATTAAACCCATTACATCCAGGCACTATGCTTTATATACAGTAAGTCACTGAATCCTTACAACCACCATATGAAATATGAAATATATACTATTAGTAAATACTATTTTCCCTGAGGAGAAAACTGAAGTTTCATAGGTTAAGAAATCTGCTGAAGGACACAAAGCTAGCACATGACTGATCCAGCCTTAAAACCCAAGGTTGTGTGATTCCAAGGCACCTAAAACATTTTGCAGAGCTGCCCACTCAACTCAGAATACAGAGGAAACCAGGGCACATGGAGTATGTTGAGTCCTCTGCCTTTTTTGCGTCTGCCAAAACTTTTTATTTTGGGGAAGTCTGGCAAGTATGAACAACAAGGACAGCCTTAATCCACAGCTCTGAGAGCATTAACATGGGACACCAGGTGTGGTGTTTCACAGGTACAAGTGTTAGAGGGAAGATGTTCCCTAGAGAACGCAGGGGGTTCTAGGGACCAGGTCCTAGGGGTCCCGTTGGTTCCAAGAAATAAAAAAGGGGCTGAGAGGCTGGGCACGGTGGCTCACGCCTGTAATCCTAGCACTCTGGGAGGCAAAGGCAGGCGGATTGCTAGAGGTCAGGAGTTCGAAATCAGCCTGAGCAAGAGCAAGACCCCGTCTCTACTATAAATAGAAAGAAATTATTGGCCAACTAATATATATAGAAAAAATTAGCCGGGCATGGTGGCGCATGCCTGTAGTCCTAGCAAATTCGGGAGGCTGAGGCAGGAGGATCGATTGAGCCCAGGATTTTGAGGTTGCTGTGAGGTAGGCTGACACCACGGCACTCACTCTAGCCTGGGCAACAAAGAGAGACTTGTCTCAAAAAAAAAAAGAGGGGGGGAGGCTGAGAATGAGGTTTCCTGCATGACCAGGAAGAAAACAGAATGGTCTGGCAATTGCACAACCATAAGAAAACACTCAACTCAGGTAAGTTTCAAGGGTCAGAGCCTGAGGGACTCCACAAAATACAGGGCTGGGCTGAGTAAGTCATTTGAGCAAATCTAGAAACTCTGGTGTCCTGATATACTCAAAAGTACTTAGGAAAAACACTAAGTTTTCAATAGTGATGTACAAACCTTAGTATATATAACTGCGAGAATACCATATTTCCAGATGAAATATGTCCATTTGCCCAATGCTCGTTATACACCCACCCACCTACTCACTACTCATTCAAAACTTACCAGAAGCTTCACACTGCAAAATGCACAATGAACTGACTCAACACCACTAAACAACACATAACAATAATACACTACCGAATCTAAGATCCAATCTGACTTCTTTTGACAGTGATCCTTAGAATAACATGAACAACATTGATAACCAAAGTTCTTAAGAAAGAAAGTTGAATAATAGATAACAATTTATAATAAAATACACATAACCAGAAAGCATTTCTCGCATCAAATCCTGTGATGATATACACTGAACATGAACAATAAAGTGTCATTAAATTATATCATATAAGATAACTTTCTCATACAACTAATTATCATCCACCATAAACAAAACAACATGCAATAATATTATCTAATGCAAGCTCATACCAATACAAATCAATCAGAGACATCTACTATAATATAACTGATACAATAAACAATCAAAACATAAAATACACAAAGCAACACACAAATTATAGTCTAGAGATCTAATAGCAATTAACACGACAATAGCAATAAATAACTAACAATAAAAATACAGTACTATATAGACTAATGCCAATAAAAATACAACACCTACAAATACGAGTGCTATTTGAAAATATTAATTAATATGTTTAACATAGATCCCAAATATATATCAATATAACATATAGATTCTTAACTTATTTACATGAAGGAGGCTGATACAAAAGAGAGAGAGAATATAACAGGGACAGCAGATAAGGATATATATATAAAAGAAGAAGGAGAGAGAGAGGGGGGTTTCAATAACTTTATATATATATAGATGAAACATATATAGAATGTCTTACTAAATATTTAATATATATAAACAATGGCCAGACAAGGTATCAAAAGCACATCTTTTTAACTACTTTATCAGAGACCCACTTACATGAGAACACACAATACACACATCTTAATTAAATTATTTATATTGAGCACAAGATCTCCGCAATCTAGTATCAACATATAGACACAGAGCAAACAGAAGAGTGCCGTGGCGTCGCCAAAACAAACAAAACCTACTCATACACACCTCAACTTCCTCGGGCTCCCAAGTGATCTCCTGCTCAGCTCGAGTAGCATACAGAACTACAGGCATGCGCCACCATGCCCAGCTAATTTTGTCTCTATATATTAGTTAGCCAATTAATTTCTTTCTATTTATAGTAGAGATGGGGTCTCGCTCTTGCTCATGCTGGTTTCGAACTCCTGACCTCGAGCAATTCTCCCACCTTGGCAAGTATTCTTTTAAAAATACAATTATATTCAGTCAAGTCAGAAATAAGAGATTTAAGCATCATAGCATACCGCTGGTGCCTTGTCAGCCATCAATTGGTGCCATCTTTTGTAGGGTGGTAAATCAAGATTTATGGTGTACCATGGAACTGGGCCCCGGTAGCTGTAAGGAGAGGTTCATCATCTTGAAATGTGGAAAGTGTTTTTTTTGAGGGGCTTAGTTACATCTCTAAGGATATATGAGAGACATACTCTTAATAACAGAGTAGAAGCAAAATTTGCAAAGAAAGTTCATTTTGTACCCAGTATTTCTGCCCTGCGTTTCACATACAGTCATCACTAGTCCCAGACACCTTTGCCTTGGAGTACACATTAGGAAGGACTGGTGTGAACTGGTTATAGGTGAGAACAAGAGCTATAGCCTGACTGTCACTGACAGACATCACCTGCCTTTTTCCTCCTCTCCTAGATGTTGCAAAGAGTTAGTCTAGGCCAGGCGTCCTCAAACTACAGCCCTCGGGCCACATGCAGGTGTCTTTGCCCGTTTGTTTTTATACTTCAAAATAAGATATGTGCAGTGTGCACAGGAATTTGTTCAGTTTTTTTAAACTATAGTCCGGCCTTCCAATGGTCTGAGGGACAGTGAACTGGCCCTCTGTTTAAAAAGTTTGAGGACTCCTGGTCTAGGCTCTGGACACTTCTCCACTTGGTTTCCCGGTCTCAGAAATCTCTCTCAGACAGTCTAAGCAAATTATTGCCAAATCATTGTCTCTAGTGCTAGCTTCAATAAGTCACCTTTTAAAGCACAGAGTGGCAACATGTATTAGCTTCCCATGATGGGCTCCAAGAACCTTCATGATTCTCTCAGCCATCCTAATCTTCCCTACTGTCTACTTTCTCTCTTCTCTTTCTTCTGTATTAAGTCCAAGCCTAAGCACTATTCTATTACATCCTTTCTCCAACTCCCTCCTCTTTAACTTACATACGGCAACTTCTACTATGAGGATATAGTACTGTCCATTGCCTCATCCATGGAGCTGGACCACATTTCTGGTGGATGAACTCTACAACTATTTCTGTTGCTATAGGAACATTATTTTCTGATTCTTGTTACTAAATTGAAATAACTTTTAAGGGTGTGCTATAACATCAGCTAAAACCTATGCCTAAAAATAGCCATCCTTTGATCCACTGATCTGCTCTGAAAAGGTATAGAGTGCACTTTGGGTGTGCTACAGTGTTATCAATCTCCTAAATTAACATGTTATCTAGACTTATGTCTATAGCTGGGCTGGGTTATTTCCTCAAAGTCATGAACTGTGTTTCTATTTATACTTCTTCTGTAATGAATAATTACTTGGTTCTCTAAATATTGCTGCTGCACTTGGGGCCCTGGTATATATATGAGGTTTTATGAAACTATTAACCAGTAGCCACTCATGTTATGATCTAGATAGAAACGAAAAGGACAACTTAATTTGGGAAACTTACATTTAAACAGTATCACAATGAAATTTTGTTCTTCTCAATGCACTTTCAAGTTCCCCATTTCCTTAGGAGCTGACATCTACATGAAATGCTATAATACTTAAATCCTAGAAAAAAGCTTTTCATTACAACAAATTAATTCCATTTCTAATGGACCATAATGTCACATGTAAAATGTCCCACAACTCAATAAGTAATTACTGTTCCCCCTATTATGGGGCAGTTGCTACATGTATTTGGATCATGTATTTGGATTTCCATGTCTAGTTGCAAAGGTAAATCAATGGGTTGCAAGATTATGTGTTTGACCTACAAACTTCAATCAGGGGCTCCTCCTCTCATCATATCCAGCCAATCCCAAACCACACCCCTGCATCTGCCATGAATTCCTGAGTCAGTCCAGAGTCTTGGACAGGCTCAAGGATTTCAGAAGAAATAGGGAGAAAATGAACTCATTGCAGTAAAGGAGTATAATGAAGTGAGGTTGATGAGACCCCCAGAAACCCTTTGATAATAAAACCTCCACTAATCAGAATTTTTTGAGAGAACTTTAATTAAAAAAATTATTTTAGTATCTAAAGCTTAGCCATAATCCCACATTTTGTCTCATTAAACAGTCTTCTAACATATTTCAGTATTTCACCTCTGCGCCTCAATTTCCTACAGAAATAAGAGTGTCTACTTTAGGAGAGCAGTGAGGATTACCTGAAACATGCAAAAAATACTTAGCAGCATTGGTCTTCAATCAATAGTAGTTACCATAGGATATTTTCCTACTTTCATACAAACAATAAGTATCATTTAATCATTCTTGAGACTCAGCATTTGCTACGTCCAGGTTATCATAACATCAATCATATCCCACATGGCTCCCCAGGTGGCTTGGAAACTAGATCAAGTGACACAACATGCACATACACAAATAAGAGAGCAGATGCCACGCACCCAGTGAGCAGTGGGAAAGAAATGCTTAATAGGATTCCGATGGATACAGGAGCAATCTGTCAGTTCTTGGATCTCCAGCATTGATTTGACTGGTCGTGCTGGATAAACAAGTATCTTTTTCTTTTTTTTCTTTTTATACTTAACTCTTGATGTGTAAAAGTATCTTTTTCTTCCTTCACAGCTGCCCATGCAAGCTGCCAAAATCTATATTCTTGATTTAAAAAAAATGACCTCAGAGGTACAGGAAGACTATTTGTAACTCAAAGGTACATGAATACCACGCTTCTCTCCTAGATCTCAAGATCCATTTATAGTTGCAAGACAAGAAGGATCAGAGCAAAGCTGGGGGTTTTGGGGTGTCCTGATATACTCATACAAAGTACTTAAGGAAAATACCAAGTTTTCAAGGCCAGTGAGGTAGAAAGACATCCTACAGAAATACCAAGGCAAGGACAGAAACATGTACTTTATGTATATGTATAAATGTGTGTTTGTTTAGGTGTATGTGTGTGCATACATGCATGTACACATGCACATACCTGCACAAGCACGTGGCAACGTGCAATCAGTTAAATGCCAAATCAGGGATGGTTTACGGTTTACAGGCCAATCAATTCACAGACACATTTGTAAAGTCCACATAAAAGTAGAAAAAAGTCCTTCAATGTGGAAAATACTTATTTAATGTTCAAGGAATTGGGGTAGTGAGACCACCCAAGAGATGCAATCAGCAAGGCACTGAAAGGAAGAAAGGAAGACAGAAAGGAAGACCATCAGAGAGCAGACCACTAAAGAAAGAGCTGGAATGTGCACTGGCTTTAGAATCTCATTGAAACTGGTTATCTCTATTTTACTTTCTGCCAGACATTTGCTTCTTTCTACATAAAGGTGAGTAAGTCAAAAGAATTTAGTTTATTATAGTTTCACATTATCTGGGACAGAGGCTATTTAGAATACATAATTTAGATAAGTAGTACAATTAATTTAGAATATTATGAAAACTGCAAAAATGCCATCTTGATGTTATTCTTTAAAGTTTGTTCTATTTCCCTCTACCCTCAGCAGACTACTTTCAGTGAGACAGAAGAGCAGGAGAAAAGGTCACTACCATTCACTACACCTTTTCCTTCTTTCCCTTGTACCCTCTGAGCCTGTAAGATATTATTATGTCTTTCTCATAGGTTCATTTAACCACTAAGGATTTGGAAAGACCAAAATCTACACTAAAACTATTAATGCTAAGCACATTAAAACAAGGTATTGACCCTTCTCTTATGTGTTCTAATCCTGTCTTGCCCTCAGTAGCTTTATCATGTCAAGGTTTATTTCCAGAATGTTTCACATATGAAGTCTCATGATTTTTTTGTTCCTATATAATTCGGTGGTTTATATCCATGCACTACAGATAATCACAGGTCAGCTCAAATATAGGTTTGCATTTGTCAAAGAGGAGAAAAATGCTTAACAGTAGATGGAAGAATTTAGTGGAGAAGGAAAATACCTTTTTTTTCCATGTCTTTGATAGGCTAGAAATGGACATTTTAATTATGGAGTATTTTCATATTTGTGTAAGATCTTAGCCAAATGCATTATACACAAACCTGAGGGAAAAAGTCTTTGTCTAAGGATGGAAGACATGACTTAAGTTTTTAGTCACTATCATTATTTTATGAGAGTTCATCACATAGATAAAAAGTCTCCACAAAGGTCAAAGTGAGTTTTGATCCTCTGATTTTTTTTTTTTTTTTTTTTTGAGACAGAGTCTCGCTTTGTTGCCTAGGCTAGAGTGAGTGCCATGGCGTCAGCCTAGCTCACAGCAGCCTCAAACTCCTGGGCTCAAGCAATCCTTCTGCCTCAGCCGCCCGAGTAGCTGGGACTACAGGCATGCGCCACCCTGGCTAATTTTTTTTTTTATATATATATTAGTTGGCCAATTAATTTCTTTCTATTTATAGTAGAGACGGGGTCTCGCTCTTGCTCAGGCTGATTTCGAACTCCTGAACTCGAGCAATCCGCCCGCCTCTGCCTCCCAGAGAGCTAGGATTACAGGCGTGAGCCACCGCGCCCGGCCTGATCCTCTGATGTTTACTCACGTTGGTCCAGAAGGAGGATAGGTTGATTTTCTGCAGTCTTCTGTCCACTAAAAAACAAAGAAAATTAAAAGTTTCAGAAAATAGGTGTTTGCTAACTGAATACCTAACTTTCAAAAGTAATTACAATCTGTGAAGACAAAATCAAGTAAGACTATAAGACTTCGCCCTTTTAGACCATTTTAGTGCCTCTTAAGTCTTTTCCTTGCAAGAAAATTTTCAAATTCCAAAACCATTAAGTGCATTTTCAGTCTCAACTCAACTTACACAAATGTTGTAATTTGGCTTTTATATTGTAAATACATTGAGTAATGAAGAAACGTAAGAAAGTAGATGGAAAACATGTTAGATAGGTTAATTTACCACTAGAAGTAAATGACTTGATAGGACGTGATATTACCTGAATGTATGACCCACCTCTATTGCAACCTGTCCTGGGATTTGCCTCCCAAACCAGAATTTCAGGGCACACTGCACAGGGCCCATGACAATCTCTCCATAACTTATCAACCCAGCCTCATCTCATGACACTCCTCTTCATACATAAAGCTACCTGCAAGAACTTCCCTCTTACCCTTTCATGCCCATGCATGTGCTGTTTCCTCTTGCCAGAATGCTCTTTCTCTACCTGGTGAACTTTTGTTCTAACCTCCAAGATCCAGTTGAAATATTTTCTTTTTTATGAAGTCTTCAAGTAGCTCCCATATGAAAACAGGCATCCCTTCTTCTATATACCCACGGCATTTGTACACAACCTCATTACCATATTTATAACATTGCATTATAATTATTTGTTTGTGTCTCTTGTCAATAATAGATTCTGTGGTCTTTGAGGTGAGTGAGGGCACCCTCCAACACTGAGGTCACTGCCTGAAACAAATTAATGAGTGAGACTATTTCAGGGAGAGTTGCTCAAGCTTAATAGCAAAATAGAATTTTTTCCTAACATAAAACTATCAAAAAAGTCCACACAGATTTATGAGTCTTTTGTTAACAAGTTCAACATGGCAAGTATATTTATCTCCTTTCCTCTGGAGGCCCAGTACTGTAAAACTAAAATAATTGTTTTTACATATCCACAGTAAGAGGAAGTATGGAAGAAAACTACTGGAACTGTAGTTTGAGTTCAGAAAACTTATCTGCTGTAATTTTTTTTTTAACTTTTGATAACAGGGGGAGTATACAAAGTAGGTTGACATTATCTGTGACTCAAACATTGTCAAACTAACCTTACCACACAGTAAGTTTCTCATGTAAGTGAGGTTTTGCCTTGTAATCTGGGGTCGAATTCATTAAGAAACAATATCAAGTCTATAGCAAAAGCAAATTTCCAAAGCCATTCATGCTCAATAATAGTGGCTGAGGCCAGTTCTTGTTCAGAAAAATTTTGGTCTCAGCTCTCAGCTCAAAAACTGTGTAAAACTTTACTCCTACTAAGCTATATAACTGCTCTAAAAGAGGGGAATTCCTATTCAAGCTTCCAATTCTGACAAACATTCACAGAAATGATGATGATTATAGCCACAAGAATGAAGCTCAGGGTTTACACTGCAGGTTCAATAACATGTGTTATATTCAAATATTTTCCACCAAAGTATCTGAAAATAAATGATATAAAAATAATCATAAGCTTTAAACACCTTGATTTTCACAACTTTCGTGAATGTGCACAACTCAGCCTTTTTCTGCTCCCAGATATTTAGAAATCTTAGCAGATTCCACTTCAGGATATACTGAATTACTATTTTCTCAACCTCTTCGAAAACATCCTTGTCTGTTTTACATAGTTGTTTTACATAGACATAGTTTTTACATCCTAGTTGTTTTACATAGACTACTCATAGAGGCTAATTCTTTAGCTACTTCAAACTTGGCACTGATCATCTAATAACTATCAACAACTGATCATTATTAGTAACTTCAAGAGCCAAGAAAACCACTCCAAACCATTTTCTACCTTGTTCTTTAATTGATCTCTATTTGCTTCCAAAGTCTGGGAACAACTGTTCTCACTTAAAGACTCATGAATAATTTCATTTTCTCTGCACACACTTCTTTTGCTGTTACAATCAAATACAATTTAGTTAATGGCTCCAAATGGTAAATGGCTTTTGGAGCTTTGGTAACAAATGAGCTACCTGGAGACTTGTTTTGGTTGTAACCCTATTTTAAAATTTGTAAAAAAACCCAAAAAACAAAAACGTGTTTTCATGAGCTACTCTGCTTTAAATTTTCTTGTTTTTCTGACCATTACTTTCCCACGATTTGGGAATATTGTAATGTGTACTTAATCTGAGTGCTTAATTTTATTGTCGTGCTCTGGATGAAAGGCCAGGCTCCTTTTAAAGGTCCCACAACTGGCAAAAGAAACAGTCTATGGCTTCCACTGCTCAATCCACAGCACTACCAATAAAACCAACGCTTCAATTTAATTCCTAACAGAGAACAATCAGCATCTAGTTTGGGGCTTCCGATGGTCACTAGAATCATCAACTCAGCAAGTAAGTGAAATGCAATGACTTTTAATCCCTTCCTCATAATTATATTTGCATGCCCTGGGTTCTAAAGCCAAAACAGAAATCAAGTTACAGGCACATTTCTTACCAGACAACTGTAAGAGAAGTTGAAAATGCCCTGTCAAGTATTAGGAGAGAATCTGACCTGCCCCAGAGGTAAGACCTAAAGAGCAACCTAGCAACAGCACATGTGGGAGTCTGAGGCTGATAACAATGGTAATTGCAGTTGCAGTAAATAGACAGGAAATCTACATAGGATCTCTCTGCAAGTGGGTAGGACATAAACACTGATTAATTCTACAAGTGATGCACAGCTTCAAACTCCTAAAACAAGCCCTAAAACAAGATTACAATGAACTGAAAGTTTCTTATCATCCCTAAATTTAACTATACATGGTTAATGAAAACAACTTTAGACAACTTTATCAAGGTTGGTAAAAATTTAAATAAATGATAAGTAAAGATTATAAACATTAGACAGGTAGAGATACTGTGTAGCGGGCTTGGTATACTGTGCTATTCTATCACAGGGGGGAAAAAAATCAAACTTAGAATCAATATTCTATCTTTCTCTCTGCTTCCTAAAGGTGGAAGTGATGAAAATGTGATGTTTCAAAACATTTGAAACTCTATGGAAAATGTTTTTATAAGACTTCCTGGGTCGGTGAATTCTCTAATTCTTCAAGTTATTTGGTAGGAACCTAAATCTCTTTGAAATTAATCAGTGTTTATGTCCTCCCCAGTCATTAAGAAAAACTAATTACAGAGCTACTGAACATAACCTACTTAGGAAAACAACATATAAAGTGAAAATTACTCAGTAAGTACTCAATGAATGCTCCATACCTAAAAGAAATGACATAACTCGTCCAGCTCCTTAAAATATTTGAGTCCTGCAGAATTAATAAGAACCTCAATGAACTGTACACCTCTAGTAATATATTAAAAAGTTCAGAAAGAACCTCATATTATTCAAATATTCAAAAAAGACAATGAAAGATAATTTAAAATTATATAGCTCACACCAGTTTTCATACTCATCAGAAAAGTTGAAAAACTCTAAAACAGTTTTTAATGTTTTAATTCATCAACAACTATTTTCTAACTAAGATTTGTTTCCTAAAACGTTCTTTAAAACTTGGCAGACACTTACTGAATAAGAAAAGGCGTATTTGAACGTACATAACAAATCAGATGAGCATTTATATGTTTTCATTTGTCTTCTGGGCTTTGGATGGGATGACACTCTTTTTTTTTTTTTTTTTTTTTCTTTAAGAGACAGGGTCTTGCTATATTGCCCAAGCTGAACTTGAACTCCTGGGCTCATGTGATCCTCCCATCTCAGCCTCTTGAGTAACCAGGACTAGAGGGATGGCACCCTATAGGATGGGACCCTATGAAACTACTGATATTTAGGTAAAAGGAATGTGAATAAACCCTCCATGAGGAGAGGGGGACCTTGTCTACCTTGTTGACTGGCCCATTTCCACCATTTGAAACAGAGTGTGGTGCACAGTAGGCAATATTTGTTGACTAAGTGAACACATTACACCTGTGTGTTCCCTGCTTTGGAGTACTTGGGGAAAAGCAGACTGGGTACAATAAAACCAGCTAGGCCAGATGGGGTTTATGAGATTTTTGGAAACTCTGTGAAAATCAGTGCTAAAAAGCTGATTCAATAGCTAACATCGACAATGTTATTACTTGTATGAGACATTGAGGCATAAAAATAAGTTCGCTTTAGCAATTAATTACTGAGCATTATGTTTCATTTTCACACATCTTAGGAAGCTGCTCAGATTTTTAACTGCAAACAGTCATCTCTCCCACTCTAGTTTCTTTCCTCCTGATCATGCCTCAGCCTACTGGTGCCTCCAACACTGCTCTGGCTAAGATGACCAATGACCTCTGGTTGATAGATCCTTGATATCTCAATAGTATTCACCATAGCTCCCCTGTCCCACTCTCTTCCCTGAGCTTCCTGTCACACTTACTCTGTTTTGGTGGCTGAGTTAACTTTGCCAGTTTCTTCTCCGCCTGACATACACATGTAAGTTACTTAGCCTTCGCCTAGTTCTCTTCTTTGCTTCTCTTTCTCTATCCTCTTTCCACGTGAGTTCATCTGCTCCAATGGCTTCAGGTAGTATCATCTACGCCTACGACTCTCACAATCTCTCTTCTGAGCTCCAGTCCCAAGGGCGGGCGGGTATCTCTCTGTTACCCGGAATCCAACATAACCAAAAAGAAAATGATCCCATTCTTCAGCCCTGAGCTTTCCCCTCCTTGTGTTCCCTGGCAGTGATGCCACCATTCACCCAGCTGAGCACGTCAGAAATGTTCAGGTCATGCATGCTGACGCCTCACTTCCTTCTGCTCATTCTGGCTCCCAATTTTTTCCAGAATCATCTACTTCTCTCCCTCACCACTGGTGACACTGTCTTTCAATGCACCTTGTTTTCTCCTGTAGACCAGACACATGTCCACCTTTGCTCCCCTCCAACCCAGACTCATATTTTATGGGCCCAGCACACTGCTGCTGTGCAACTCTGTGACCTCCGGACTGATCTTTTAAAAGTGAAAATGTTATCTTTAACAGGGACCTCCCATTGTTTTTAGGATAAATCTTAAAATTCTGAATGGAGTCTACAGAACCCTGGGTGATGTCATCTGGGTCTCCTTCTCCAGACTTTTCCTGTGCCACTCACATCACCACCATCTCTTAATAGGCTATTTAATAAATCAAATAATGAGGAATAACTCAGGATCACCTTAAAATATGCACATTGTGAAAAGCCTCAAAAACAAGAAACCTCTATAGATGTTCCAAATCAAATGAATTTTGTAATTTTAAGCCAGTCCTCATGACTCATATTTATCAAAAGTAGTTCTGAAATATCTTTTGTTACCATGAGGCTACAAACAGCTTATCATGTAATGAGTCAAACTGAAAATCTGCTTATTCTGGTCAGAATGAAGTCACTAGACTTCTGTAAGGTTCCAAAGGGCCTTTTGGCTGGTGGGTCCCAGGATTTTCCAGCCCAGTAAAAAAAATTAATGAGGCTTTAGCACATGAGGTTCCAAATTTTCATTCTGCCAAGTGGAGCTATTAAAACAAAACAACCCCCCCACACACACATATATCTACCTCTGCCGCTATGTTATTTTTAAAAATAACATTTTAATAACAACAAAAATCAGAATAAAGGCTAACATTCTAAATTAGTAATTTTAGTTTTATGGCCTTATTTTGATTATATTTCATTGAAGACCTATGAAAACAGCTTCCCAAACTGACACTAGACTAGATTTTTGACAACCACTGTTCTAGAGTCTAGATAACAACTATTAAATTCTTTGAGAAGCATGATGATTCTTCATGTCCTGAAAACAGCTATTATTTTTACTAGAAAAAGTATTGAGGAAGGAAAAAAACAGTAGACCCTGACATCTGAAACTACTCTTAGGTCGGTAGCTAGACCTCAGTATTATTACAAGTTGGTCTGACACTCACGGCCAGGTTATATGTATTCACCCCTTGGACATAAACAATCTCAGAGGACGCCTACCTTGGATAAGATTATTTTGAGACATGCTACAATGAGATAAAACAATGCCACTTCATGATTTTATCTAAGCACAGACAAAAAAAACAAGGGCATTGTGCAACTCACAAAATACCAAACACTCCTTCCTCTTGCTAAATGAATGACTGTTACTTCTTTACCCAATTAGAACTGCCCCACTTTCTAGAAGCATCCTATCTAAAGCAAACCCACGATTCTTGACCTACCCCCAAATCACATAACTACAGCCCAACTTCTGTAATAGGTTTTTTCCTAGTCCACAGTTGCTTGTGGTTTGTATTCCCCCTTGCCTCAAACACTAAACCCAATTCTGAATGAAGGGCATTAACAGTATCAAAGTATTGACTTCTTAAAAAAATTCCCATAATAACAATTACTTTCATGCAACTTAATTTCCTACCCATACTAAAGCCAAGTGATTTTATTTTTTCTTATAGCCATTCAGTCCTGTATACATGTATATGCTGTGTACTTTTCTTTTATGAGATCACTGTAACATACTATTTTGCTTTTATCTGCTAAACATCATATCGGGTTTTAATGGCTGAATAATATCCCACTATGATTTTATTCTTAAAGCATTTCTCCTTACAGTAATCAAAGAATAAAAGAGGAGAATGCACATCCTGCTCCCACTTTCAGTATTCTACCTAAGTTGTTCAATACCACCCTCAACTAGCTTCAGGTCAGACACACCGCGTTCCTGTTTATACTATCTTATTACATGCAGTCTTATTGCTTTTAACGACATTAATTATGAAAGCACTGGGCGTCAAGAGGCCCTAAGTTTAGGCAAGCTTCGATAAACAATACTGTGTCCTCTGGCGAGAGATTTTCTCCCTCCAGGTCTACTTCCTCTTCTGTAAAATAAATTGTCACGCAGGTCCCTCACTGCCTCTTGCAATTACCAAGTCTGTTGCCCTGTGACTCCTTTGTGGGAAAGAGCCACGGGACAGGCGTTCCCATGACTCAGGAGCAAAGGCCACGGGGGCACGCCGCCGGGTCTGCTCTCCGCTGTTTCCCGCGCCCAGGCTGGGGCCCGCGCGCCTTTCACGCGGCCCTGCAGGATCTTGTACTGGAACTTCTTCAGGAGAAAGCACCTGGTCATCAAGCAGTCTGTCGCTTGACTGAGTAACGCACGCAAATCGACATTTTATGTGAACGGTTCAAAATGCAAAAGCCTGGTAGAGTTCGAGTACAATCACTCAAATGTGAGGATGTGCGAATCACACCCAGCCATTCTGCAGAGATTAGGGTTTCCCTAAAAGGTGTTCTAGTACCGAATCAGCCGGGAAAGGGTTGTGCACCCACACCCCTTGGCACGAAACCACAGACCCCAGAAAGGATGCTGCACCTCCCGCCGCGCCGCACCTGCGTCCGCCCCGCCACACCTGCGCCTGCACCTGCGCGCCCCACTCCGCGCCTGCCTCAAGCCCACTCACCGGAGGCGCGTGCTGCGCCACTGCACAGGCGACGGCTGCAGCCAGGAGGACCAAGGGGAGGCGACTCCTGCCCACCATCACTCCAGTGCCGATTCCGCTCAGCCAGGCACCCGAAGACGCCGCAAGAGGCATCACCTGGGCCCCGCGCTGGCCGCGCCCCCACCGGCGCGTGACCTGCGACCCGGGACGCGCCACTCGGGGCTGGGGCGGGGGGAGTCTGAGGAGACCAAGCCGAAGGGAGAGGTCGCGGCTTTCAGTGTTTCAGTGTCGCGGAAAGAGCTGTGGGCAGAGAGGAGCTTCCAGGCTGCGGAAGAAACCGCAAAATGAGAGCGCTCGCGTCGGGACGTCGTGCTGTCCCCCCCACACCGCGGACAGTGGTTGGGCCGAGCCGGGGCCCCGCCCCTCGGGGGGCGGGGGCGCTTTCCTAAGTGTAGCCCGCTGAGGTCTGCGCGGAGGGCACTGCGGGGGGCGAGGGCGGGGTCAAGGGGCGGGGCGAGGATTAGGGGGCGGGGTGAGAGGAAGGGGCGGGGCGGAGTGAGAGGAATGGGGGGACGAGAATGAGGGGACGGGGCGAGCGTGAGGGGGCGTCCCGAGGGGGCTTGTGGGACGAAGGTCGCGGGAGGGCAGAGGGTGCTGCCGGTGGCTGCCGCCGCCGCCTCTGGGCCGGGTCCCCAAGCCGGCCGGGCGAGGTCTACGCTCGGGCCGCTCTGTGCCTAAGCCCCACGAAACGGACCTGAAGAGTCTCCCAGCGCGAAGTAGCGCCCGACCCTGACCCATCTTTGCCCTCTGAGGAAAGCTGGCCCCGAGTGAGGCAGGCTGCTCACCCCGCCTGTGGGGGCACGGCACGAGGCGCGGCTCGAGTGGCCGGGGCTCATCTAGTCACTCGGACACTCCGGCGTCTGAACGGACCCCCTTGGGCTCCCACAGCGGAGCTGACTAGTCACAGAACTGAGGCTCCGGCTCCTGGCGCTTAGACTCGGTGGCATGACCAGGGAGGCCCGGCGACCCTTGTCCCGCTCGTGTGTGCCCAGCTCGGGGACGACGGTAGCGGAGCCGCCCGGACCCGGGGGGAGCGCAGACGCGGGCAGACGGGCACAGGCACTCGTGCGAGGGATGCCAGGACACCAGCGCCCTGATAGGGTGAGTTGCTTGAAAGTCCCACAGGAAATCCTGCCCTCTGGCTTGCACTTCCTGCTTCAGCCTCTTTGACATCCCAAGCAGCATTTTTTTTTTTAATGTTTCGGTAAAATTCAGAACACTATCACTAAAATCTTCATATATTTCTGTTGCGTGCGCGCGAGAAAGAGAAATTGCAGCTTTGCCCATTTGTATTACTTCTTTAGAAAATTCACTCTTTTTTGTTGGAGGTTGCAAATGAGAAGTTGATGTTTTATTCCCCCCCCCTAGATTTTGGAGAAAGGAAAGTAGATGACAGTGTTCTTTTTAAGGAGGAAGTTTGACTTTTGAAACATGTCCCATGATTAAAGTGCATTTGGGTTCTTGCTTGAGTAGTAAGCAAGCGGGTGGTAGAAATAGTCATTATGAAATAAAAAAAATATTTAATGTCCTAGGAGGATATTAACTGGTGATGATGCAGTCTGGCAAAATCAGTTACTATATGAGGAAAACTTATATCAATTGTCATAATATTCTTAGGCACAACTTTCATATAATTATGCATATAACTTTCAAAGGCCTGTTACATACTGTTGATTTTCTTTTCAGACAAAATTTAAATCTACTTCCCTAAAATTATACCATTTTATGCGTGTCTTTTTTGTTGTTTTACATATACCTTTTTTTTAACCTACTCTATTTTTCAATACTAAAAGGGTACAGAAAATCAAGGTAAGTTGTGTGGCTATAGGAAACTTTGCAGTGGTTTTTGGCATACTAACCTATTTATAGAAAATGATATCTACAGGTACAAAAGAATGATTATGTCCCTGGAAAAGGTGGTTCAAATACTGTGTAGAAACATCAAGTTTAAGACTTGGATAACCTGTTTAGTACGCAAGAGTCAACATAAGTAATCTAATTGCTTATGGAATAGCTGAAGTTCTTGGCAAGCTGTGGACTTCCTAATCTCTACCTAACATTCCTAGGTTTGTGAGGCGGAGCCTTGATTTAAAATCATTGCAACCTAACCTCTCCACCCTAAACAAAATCTGTCACATTACCCAGAACGGGTTTGACTTGATTTCATAAAACTGAATATATACAAATTTGTACTAGAAGGTCAAGAAATATAGAGATAATGTCTCAGTTTGAAAAATAGCCATTTTAACAGAAATATTTACTAATAGATTATTTAATATCTTATTTTTTTTAAAAGCCTTCATATATTTAAAATGTATCCTGAGTTTCAAAACAGGTATTTGGTCAACTCTTCAGGACTCTAGGAGGATTCTAGAAGGAATCTGTATTATAAAACATGTTAGAAAAGGGAAAATAAGAGGTCATACAAAATTATTACGTTTCTTTTTCTCTGGTAACTATCACACTAAGATTATTCGATTTATGTTTTACTTTTAGTTTAAAAAAAGTTCAATCATTACCTTCGCCTTGAGGTATATTGACACTGTACTTTATTGCATTACAAAACTACAAATTTAGTACTCACATTTAATCTAATTGTCACCACATTTAATGTCAAAATAAAAGTTATATTCTCTGTCACTTTGTGTTTATCTTTCTGCTCCTTTGTGAAACATTTTTGATGTTTTATTGAGTCCCTGACACCCTAGACATACTAGAATTTAAAGAGACACTTACAAAAAATCCTTTCTTATTTCCACTTTCCTTGATGAGACTTATGATTCTGACCCCAAAATTATTTTCAATTCTACTCAAATCTAATAATCTCTAAATGTTTTTGTCATTATGACTTCATAATCCGGCACAGTTCCATTTTCTCTTAGTTCATATTACATAAATAATTGTAGTTACTTTAACATTCTAACTTGTTATTTCTAATAAGTCTGTAGCAAATTTATTCTCACAATAAATATTGAGCACTTAACATAGGTAACTGCTGGGTAAATGAACAAATGGTTCCTTTCCTTCTAGTTTTTAGTCTCTAGAAAAAAATGAAGATGGAAGGGGAAAATGTAAATCAAGCAAATATCTTGAAAAATTTCAATACATTTGATTCATTATTCCAGACTCTACCATCTGGTTTAATATTGTACATTGGGAATGTTTCACCAACCTCAACTCCACTTCTCCATTATGTGGCAGCTATGTGACTTGGATGAGATATACCTGTATCCTTATTTCTGGGGATGGGTCATGATTGGCGTTTAAAGTCACACGTATCCCTCTGAGGAACCTGCAGCCTCAAGGCCACACGTGGCCCTCCAGATCCCCAAGTGCAGCCCCTCCTTTAAATCCAAACTTCACAGAACAAATGCTTTTAATAAAAGATTTATTTGGATTCAGTCAAATGGCCACACTCAGGGATCCAGAAGGCCACATGTGGCCCCAAGGCCTCAAATGTCCCACCCCTGGAGGCCTTAGTCACTCAGATGCTTGAGCCAGACAGGCTATGGTTTGATGCTCAGGACTTTTGCCCTATGGTTGAGGCAATTGTCCTCTGTCTTCTGATAGGAAAGAGGAAGTTGATAGTTTCCATTGCTGCTGGCATGCGTGTTATAAACTTACAGGGAGCCGCCTAAGATGAAATAGATACTGTGGACAGCACAGTGGAAAGATGGAAAGAAACTGGGTCATTGATGACATTGTTAGGATGCTAGGTCAACCAACTACATACAGAGCCTGTCCAACAACTGGACTGTTCATTTACGTGAGCCTCTACTCTTATTTGTTATTAAAGCCAGTTCAGGTTGTTTTGCTTGCATTTGGAATTAGTGTATCCAAGAGTATCCTAACTGATACACATATAAAAATAGGTATTTCTCACTTCTCAATAGCAAAGGAGGATGTACTGTTAAGCTGTGAAACTTACATTTTAGTACCTTCACTTGCTTATGCCCCTTCCCAGCCTTCTACCAAATTTTACACCTATAATGTTTTATTTTTTTCCTTAAAAAGGACCACCTAAATTGCATGAGCTTCAGGCCTCACAAAACCTGGATCTACCATCAGATGATATGGGGAGAAAACTTCTACCTTTCTCTCTAATGCCCTCCATTCATGCCTCACTAGGGAAGGAGTGACATATCTAATTGGTAAATAGCCGAAAGACTCACAGCACACACATGGCCTGACCTCTCTGTCTGGCTGTCTCATTCACATCTGCCTGTCCACAGTGGTGAGTTCACTACAGCAAGCCTGGATGACAAGAACAGAAGTGGAAATAGTTGTTGTCTTTGATGACATTTTCCCAAATTGGCACATCACCAGTGAATTTTAAAAACACTATGTCAACAAGATGACTGTGAAGGCTAAAGAAAGACACCCTGAAAGGAGAGTTCTGGGAAATGTGGAGAGAAGGTAATCAAGGAATGGAGCCTCTAAGTACTTGCTCCCCCTGCTATCAGGGTACAGGTCCTGCCCTCTTCCTGCAGCCTCACCCTGCCCTCCGCTTACCCGTCTCCTGTTAGAAACTGGCTGTGCCCCTGGGAAGCAGTTTGCGTTTGTCAAATGACTGAGTGCACAAATTCATTCCAAAGGAAAAGGCATTGGAATTAAAGATCATCCCAAAATGATGTCAGAAGCCAACAATAGCAATTACAATATGCCTATGAAGAGTACTAAATGACCATTAAGTACAAAACAGAATACTAGGTGCTATGGAAGATACACAAGCAGTAAAATACAAATTCTAGATTTCCAGATCTCAGGGAGTTTATAAATTTACAACAGAAAAAGGATATAACACTAATATATATACACACACATACACAAAGAGACTTCAAAAAGTTTGTGGAAGCCCATCTATATTGATATGGGGGGAAAAAGTTTGTGGAACATGGGATTAAAAGATAAAAAAAATATAAATTGTATTTCTCAACATCAAGGTCAAGACATTGTTGTAAGTGATTGTACCAACCATTTAGTCGATTCCAAAAGAACTGAACTTCATAGGAATTTAACCATGTCAATGTAGTTTTTTATACATTATTTAAAAATGGGTGTCCTTTATAGATTTTTTGAGATTAGGAAACAAAAAGAAGTCAGAAGAAGCCACATCAGGACTGTAAGGTAGATTTCCCATCAAAGTTCTCATAAAATCGCCCTTGTTTAATGAGCAGGAATGAGCAGGAGTACTGTTGTGATAGAGGCAGACTTTCTGAGCTCCTGGGCATTTCTCTGCTAAAGCTTTGGCTGACTTTCCCAAAACACTCTTGTATTTAGCAGATGTTACCCTTTATCCCTCTAGAAAGTCAACAAGTGAAAT